GAAATGAGTGCCATATTCGTAATGAGCATCCCCAAATACCTCGAAAAGGATACCCATATAGCATATTTTGAAAAATCGTGTCCGCCATCTTGGATTTACAAATAAGTGCTATATTCGTTTTTCATCGACAAAACCGAGCATATCTGTAGGCACCTGATCGACAATGTCGGGCAAATCTGTAGGCACCTTTAACTTAATGATGAGTTAAGCAAGATACAATTTCCCCACTTTTGAAGGAAATGTTATTCCATGGCATCATTATTTGTATATTTGTGTGCGTGCCGACGAGCGTAGTTACAAGTTGCTTACGCCTACATGAATTTGGTTTTTGCCTCACTTGTGACAGTTCGTTTGATATGAAACTATCATTCTATGCGTTATTATTCTAAGAGTGGCGGTATTGGTTTTAACGCGCATGTAAAATTTTTATAACCTGTTTATTCATAATGTACTTATTGATAATACTTTCACAAAGAGATGTCTGAATTTTATTTTTAACAATTTTTGTAGCTAAGCACATTGCTTACAGTGATGTATGTACCTAAATAAATAAGAGTGACTTACGAACTCATAACACTCGGAGTGATATTTAAACCTCTTGTATCCCCTAATAATTGTAATGTCCTCTCTGTTTGGGGCTTTAGGGCAAAAAACTTTGAAGACTAAGTAGGCATAAGTACCTTCCTCGTCAATATCTATTATTTTTACTGCGTCTAGATCACTTTTGTTACAACGCCATTTTGGATGGCGAGCCATTATAGTATTGAAACTTCTGGTTGTACTGTAAGCACACTATCGATTACTGTACATGTTATGGATATCCTTTACAATATATTTATATATTTGAGCCTCACAAGACGTCCATGAATCTAATATTAATCTACAATTAGTATTGACTCTAACACGAAGGACATGTACATATTAACCACTATACATATATGCACACCATACTAAAAAGGCATCGTGTGGCTCTCCGATTAGAAAATGTCCCGGCGTTAAAGCGTTTAAATAATTCGGATTCAAAGTTAAAGGACAAAGAGGGCGCGAATTTAAAATAGCTTTGATCTGTGTCAAAACCGTAACTAATTCTTCAAACGTGAGGACTGTAGCACCGAACGGTACGAAGAAGATGCGATTTAATCGATTTTACCGCAGCTTCAGCCAAGCCCGTGAAGTGAGGGGCAGCTGGAGGGTTAAAATGCTAGGTGATTTTGAATTTCAGCAATGAATGAGCTGGGTAGTTCAGAGCTAGCACCGACGAATTGGCGCCGTTGTCGCTAAAAATGTCAGAACACATGCCACGAAGACTGATGAAACGACGTAATGCTGCCAAAAAGGCATCCGAGGATAAATTAGAGGCGAGTTCAATGTGCAATGCACGCGTGGTAAGACAGCAGACTTTTCGATCTTAGACTTTCGAAGGGTCCCTGCTTTTGTTGTGATAGGTCCTGCGTAATCGACAGCAAACTTAAGGTGACTTGCTGGACACGAGCCTGTGGTAAGTCAGCCATTTTTTGTTCAAGAAGTGTTGGTCGATGCTTATAATATCTGACACAAAGAAAAATCCGTTTTTTGACTACTCGTCTAGCCGAAATAATCAAGAAGCTTCTAGCGATATGGGCCAGTGTAGCTTGAAGACCCGAAAGCAGATTAATTTTATGAAAGAAATCGATTAGGGGACTAAAGTCAAAGTTCGAATTTGACAGTCGACCACCCACCCTGACGAGATTCTGTTCATCGAGGACGGGGTTTAAGCGTTGGAGTCAAGGCGAACAATGTTTTTTAAGCTCCAGGCGTCGAGGGTCATATGCGAACCAGAACCTTTGGATGATGCGTACCAACGCGAAGTTGTATATTGGATCTCAGAAACTGTCAACGGGCCAGTATTTCTGATTTTCAAACGGCAGTTTTTGATAAAACGAAAATAGTAAACGACATCACGTTTGTCAATTTATGATACGAGGAAAATCGGCTGAGGAACGAGAGTCATGACAGTCAATCGAAAGAGCAGTAAGTTTTTCAGTATGACGTTCAGGTACATTACTGTTCTCCATGTTAAGAGAAGACACTGGCCATTGATCTTCCGGTAGACCTAGTCGCGCTGGGTAATTCCATCAGATGTCATGATTTCCAATTTCGGTGGGCAATCGGCCACGAGAAGCACAGTCAGCCGAGTAGTCGGAAGATCGAATGTGTCGTAATTTGTCTGGGAAGATTTGATTTTGAATCTCCACGACTCTGTTTGCCACATAGGTGGATCAGTTGTGCGGAGAGGCATGCAATCAGCACAGAACGATGATGCTTGAGTTGATCCAAGCGAACTCATTACTGATGGTTATCTGCAAGCAAATCGAACGACGAACGAATACGAACAACGAGGAAAAAATCGCTACTTTCTCCGCCACACAACTCTAATCTTGGCAGGGAAAGTTTCTTCAGTGGGGCCACTCGAGACTTCGCAGAGAAAATATGGATCTATCTGCCCGTTAGAATGTAAGACACCCAAATAAACTACGGCTGCGTAAGCAACTTCCGAACTGTCACAGAAGCCAGGAAGCTCAACGCGACATGATTGTGTTGGAACGAATCGAGGAATTTGAATTTTCGAAAGTTCGGGAAATTGGGAAACGATCCGAAGCCCAGTTAACACCAGCTAACCAAAGTTCCTGAATAAGAATCTTGGCAGCGACGATGATTGGACACAAAAAAACAGATAGGATCAAAAATGCGTGCAGTTTCGGACAAAACTACACGTTTCGTCACCTTGTCGCGCAGAGGTGTGACGTTATAGGAAAAGACGTCCTGGACAGGCTACCAGGTCATGCCCAACACTTTGACAGAACTATCGTCATCCAATGAGACTGTAGAGGATTTTTAACGGTTTTTAAACGATAAATTTGTGGTTCGTCGGTAGAGGAGGTCCGGCAGAGAATAAGTTGGTAATTTAAATGTTCGTCAGTGATTAAAATCTCGCGGATGTCACTGGTGAAAGCGATTTCATGAAGTCGAAACTTACAAATGAGATATCCAACCTTCTTTTGCAACTTGGGCTCAATAAGTTGGCAATCGTAAGAAACTCTTTTACTTATTGGTACCGAAGCGTCGAAGACAACTTAGTGGTTGACTTCGATGGCCTAAGAATGCCATGATGTGCTATGAAATAATGATTTCCCTTAATCTCCCTTGAAATGAGTTCCATGTGACTAGATTTTAAGTAGTCTTCCATAAAATCAAAATATAGATTACGAAATTGACTATGATCTTCAGCCGATAGAATAGATTTTTCTGAGACCGATTCAATCGAATCGAATCGCTTTGTCAATACTCTCATCTTGGCTTGAAACGATAAACGACGAATTTTATTAGTTTTTTGTTTCAAGTTACAACACTAATGGAGACACTACAGAACTTCTGCGAGCGGGCGGCAAGCCGATACTTAAAGTCCTCTGGAAGCTTTTCAATTCTGTCATCGTCGAAGGTCAAACGTCGAAGGCATGGGGCAGAAGCGAGGTCGTGCTGTTCTTCAAAAAGGGTGATAAAACACTCTTGAAGAACTATCGGCCAATCTCGCTTCTGAGCCATATTTATAAGTTGTTTACGACAGTTATCACGAATCGTCTCGCTCGCAGGTTTGACAACTTCCAATCTCCCGAACAAGCCGGTTTCCGAAAGGGTTTTGTACCATAGACCACATCCATACGCTGCGGCAAGTTATACGAAGAAGAACCGAGGAGTATAACCGGTCATTTCATTCGATCGAGACCTGGGCGGTGCTGCAGTCTCTCCAAAGGTGCCAAGTAGACTACAGGTATATCGAGGTGTTAAGGTACTTATACAAAAACGCCACTATATCAGTCCGATTACAGGATCAGAGCTCTAATCCTATCTAGGTAAGTCCAACTTTAAGAAAGAGATCTCTCGTTGAATCCAGATCGGATGGGCAGTTTTCGGGAAATTACAAAAAATCTTCCCGTCCAAATTACCTCAGTGGCTCAAGACGAAAGTCTTTGACCAGCGTGTGTTGCCAGTGATTACGTATGGATCAGAAACGTGGTGCCCCACCATGGGCCTCATAAGAAGCCTCAAGGTTACTCAGCGGACAATGGAGATAGCGATGCTCGGTATTTCCCTACGTGACAGAATCAGAAATAAGGAAATCCGTAGGAGAATTAAGGTAACCGACATAGCTCGAAGAATTGCAAGCTGAAGCGGCAGTATGAGCGGGGCATACCTATAACTAGGAGAACCGATGGTCGTTGGGGCGGAAAGGTTCTTCAATGGCGACCGCGCACCGCACGACGCTCGGTGGGTAGGCCCCCCACCAGGTGGACCGACGATCTGGTAAAGGTCGCGGGAAGCCGATGGATGCGGGCAGCGCAGAACCGATCGTTGTAGAGATCGTTGGGGGAGGCCTATGCCCAGCAGTGGGCGTTGTATGGCTGAATGATGATGATGATGATTATGTAGTCTACCAGTATATGACGAGTGCTGAGAAAGGGGCGGCTGGTACTGACTACATGGCCTGGGGCCTAGGGCGGTCAAGACTGCAAATCCGCCACAGAACGCGATGCAAGCGCGCGACTGCATCGATACAAACGCATGATTGCATAGCTACACTTGGGATATAAAGGTGATTGCATCGATGCAAACGCGCCTTTGTATCAATGCAGTCGTGCGTTTGTATCGATGCAGTCGCGCGTTTGCATCGACGCCATACAAATCGTCGTGTGTAACCACTCTTAGCAGCTAAAGCACTTATTATGGAAACACGTGTTATGGAAAACGGAAACAACGACGGTACCACAACTACTCAGATCCGAGACAATATAAAAAAAGTTCGTTTTCTACACTGAGCCGGCTGGGGCCGAGAGTCGAACCGGACCTGAGATTCAGCGACTCCATAAAAACGGGTGCAATATCCACTCGACCACGGATGCCGACAAAGAGGACTTCATGGATGTATTCAATTGTAAGACCCAATGTTCGTTGGAGAGATTTTATCGTTATCGTTGATCCTATTGATTAGTACGTATGATAAAACAGAGTGTGTTTATTGTTTGCATTTTTCGCTGTTTTCCAGCTAGCAGAATAGGTCTTCAGTAGCAGTAGAGCTCTTTCTTAAAAAGTTCGTCCAGGGTAGTACTATGTCAGCATTACTGTGTTGCGGCTTAGAAGGGCAAAGGTGCTGGTGAAATTACAGGCATATGGGACTTGTCAACTTATGTTTCAGAGTGACGGGCGCAGTGGTAGCGCCCCTCAGATCTTTGCAACTTAAAACGAGTGGCACTGTAATTGTCAAGCGTGTAGCTTACCATCATCGTCCCGTTACTTGATGTTATAAAAAAAGTTCAAGTAAGCTTTTAAAACAAATTGTGAATGCAGTTACTTGTGTTAAGAAAAATAATAGAATGTTTCCTAGTAAAATTAGGAATTCGAGGTAGTTCAAGTCCCATTGATTTTTTCCACACTGTATACATGTACATAGTTTCTTTATATAGGTTTAAGTTGTGCAAATACTTCGCTTACATACCTGTATCAAGATGTAGGTACTTAGTCTTGATTAAAAATAAAAACCGTATTTATGAAGAAAATCTACGCTTAGGTAGCTTGGTTTTTGTGGTATAACAATAAAATTATTATTACTAAGGCACTTACGATAGTAATAATAATTTTATGAATTCCAAAGCTATTTACGTGATATGTCGAATATGTCAAACAAAGCTTTAAACATAGAAGCTTTTATTTTTTCCATCCTTTAAGCATAGAAGAGCATTATTTCAAAATTCTACTTTGGAAATGCCAAAAGAATCTCTATGGTCGTTACCAAAGCAAAGATTGATTATAGTTACTACGTCTCCTTTAAATACAAAACACGCCGAGGAAACTGTTAACATCTGTGTTCACGGCGTATGAATAGGGGAGAGCGAGGCTGAACGTTCCGATTTTCAAGTAACTTGCAGTTTTGTACTGAAAATGAAGGATTTGATTTTCATCATGTGGAAATGTTGAACAAATTATATATATATATAAGTTTATCGCTTTTTGTAATATATAATCACTTCTACTAATATCTCAATAGTCTTTTTCATAGAGGCAAATTTTTGACAAATTTCGGAGTGGCTCCGCCTTTGAGGCAAATTGTTCCGCCTAGATTATGACAGAATAACAAAGATTTTCTTAAATAAAACCACCTTTTTTATAATTGTATGCATGTAATGTTTATATTATGCACAACTAACTTTTAAAAAAAGTACATTCTTATTCATCAGTAATAATATTCATCGCTCATTTCTTCATCTGAATCACAGTTGAGACACACATAAGTGACTCTATCATCTTGTCTAAATATTTGACATGAGCACGTTTGTAGTTTCGCATCCTTAAAACAAAGAAAAATGGTCATAAACATTTTAAGTATGATTGCAGGTCAATTGGGGAAGTTGTTCCTAGGAACAACCAACCCATCGAGTGAGGAACTTATAGCACCATATTACGTTTTTATACGAAGACTGACATACAGGCAAAGTAATAGAATCAATCATAAAAATACTCCAACAATAAGATTCCTTACTAATGGCACTGCAATTTAGAAAAGTTACGTATGAATCGGCCCATAATAAACAAAGACAGACCAAAAAATTTAAACAAGACAAAATTTATTTACGTGATGTTTTGACAGCTCCACATACGTAGCCCTTAGAGGATGGAAAAAAAATAAAAGAGTCTAAGGATCGTATTCTTGAACTCTACTCAATGTTCAAGTCAGGACTTGAGAATGATTCAAAGCACTAGAAATCACACTGAAATCCTTGCCATTAGGGTCTTATTTCCAGTGCTTGAAATCATACTCAAGTCTGCTCAAATCCTGATTTGAGCATTGAGTAGAGTTACGACCCTAACACATAGCCACACTTCCGTCGTCGTCGGAGTAACTGAAATGGCTTTAACGACGCGCTTCACATGTATTGCTACATATTTTGCTTGCAAAGTTATTGCTGTGAGAACAACTTACTCTGGGAACTACCAGCCCCGGTCTCCCCTATATTATTGACCTACCAACACTGGCGGATTTGCAGTGTTGGCCGCCATAGGCCCCAAGCCATGAAGTCAGTACCAGCCGCCCCTTTCCCAGCACTCATCATAATATACTATACTATGTAATCATCATCATCATTCAGATTATAGACTCTTCTCAGTCTTACTTCCCGGACTCGTTTCTTACGTTGCACCCGTCTCTGATGCAACAACCCTACAATAGTCCACTTAATTCCCACATACGCCGGGTGCTGAGTCTGCGCGTCGCCTGTGGGGTGTGCCCTAGCATGGTGTTATCCTTCACTCTTGAATACATGTTGTAAAGGGATTTGGCATGGTGTTTTAGATTATAGATGAATTTATGTAATGAATTTACTTTATTACCAACTTTTATCGAAATCGTTTCAGAAATTTCATTAACTATACCTAATAGTTGCTAATTTTTACTATTTTCGGAGGTTTCAGATTTAAATAAAACATTTAAAAGGGTTTTAGGTTTTATTTATTTAACTATGGGTTCATTCTCATACAAAATTAGATATAATAAGTGTTTTACAAATAAAATTAGATAATATCTAATAGACATAATAAATTTTTTCCGACATTTCATTCAACATTTATCGTCATATTTCAGCCAACTCACACAAAACCTCAATAAATTATACACTTAAACCTTTCTCGTAAATCACTCTGTCTATTGGTGGGAACCGCATGAAAATCCGTTCAGTAGTTTTTGAGTTTATCGCGATCAGGCAGAGAGACAGACGCGGTAGTGGTAATTATGTATGGTAAAAGTAACACTTTTTACGCACGCTTCGATTATAGAACTGCTTTAAGGTATCTTTATAATATTTCCCGTAAGGTAATGTAAATAATTATATTTGGCTACAAACATTTGTTAGTGATTATTCTATATTATGCTTTGAAAATTGAAAATGTAGATTTTAAGACAGATTCAGATTCAGATTCAGATTCATTTATTTCTCAAATATAACATTACAGTATAAATTGCATTACATGTCAAAGTATAAGAAATTATATTGAGATCGTCAGACAAAAAGGAAAATTATAAGAAAAGCACACAATAATTAGAAAATTAACAATTCATTATATAATATTGTTGTCATTAAATTATATATCAAATATCATTCTCCATCAAGGATCGTCATAAGTTGATAACAATTATACAAGAGTATGTTAATGCGGTAAAAATTAGAATAAAAATAGAAAATACTGAATTCGTTACAATTTAAAGTCCATAAATTCTTTTACGGAGTATATAGGGTGTTTCAAGAAAAGGTCTTTCAGCCGGCGCCCAAATATTTCGTCAGACGGTTCAAGTCTGAGAGTAGCGGGTAAACGCTCATAGTAAGTAGGTCTGATGACACGCGGATTTTTCTCTGCAAGTGCCATGGGTCGAGGGACTGTTCTCAAATGACCGGTACGGCGAAGTGTATCCAGTGCGCAGTGTATCGCATGTGCTCTTATTATAATGCTATCAGATATGATTTTGACATATTCTCTTGTTCTGTGGTCTCAGCTAGAAACTCAATAAGAAAATGTATTATATAGTGACTGCGCGATGAATTTTAGTTGTCTGTTTCCTATTTCATAAATAGTAGATATGTAAATCTTAATTTACTATAATTTTGTTTAAGCACTTTATGTTTTAAATACGAAACGCTGTGTTCACATCTAGAAGGACACACTCTTCTCGCCTTATAAAAATAAATAAAATAAAAATAAAATAAAAATAATTTATTTCGAACCGTAGTCCATAGTATTAGTAACAAGTAACCTTATATACTATGTTAGTAACAGCATATTTATGACAGAATTATCTATAATAAACAAAAGGAAACAAGGCACCACTACGGCACATAATGATTGTACGTGACAGCGGTGTCCTTAGTTATGTGAAGACGCGTCCAGTGCTGCATTACAGCACTGTCCACGTGCAGTCTATCTGCTACTGTCCGCAGGAGACCGTTGGAGCTGCCCCGCACCCTCTGTAACAGGGATGTGATACGTTTTCTGATGATGGCAGAAAAGCTATCAATCTCAGACGTGGCTAGCATCCCTGAAGCACTACAGTAACGTGGAAGCCCCATCAGCGCCCTGAAAGCATTGTTATATTGCGTACGCAGAGCCCTGTATGCACCCTGAGTATAATTCAACCACAGGCTGCACGTGTATAGAGAATTACAATAAGCTCTAAACAGTGTGACTTTAACTTCATTTGTACAACGCGCAAACCTCCGAGAAAGCAAATTAGCTCGAATGCAAAGGGCCCTGCGCTCACGTTCCATGTCCAAATCATCCTTAAGCGATTCCGTGACCCAATGTCCCAGGTACTTGAAACTGCGCACTTGTCCAAGCGAATCATTATAATGTTAACCAATCTGTTGTATTTGATTTAAGAGTTGTATACAGTTTTGTGAACCGAATAATAAAAAAAAAAAGTGGGATGCCAGAAACATTCACAGTACCAAATGAAGACAGATTATTTTCTAACATACATTATAATTTCGTATAAGTAGAGTGAGTAGTGCGTCATTATGCGTTGCGCTACAAAGAGATTTCTGCAGGAATGTCTGTGTTTTACCCCAACCAATACGCGTACGGCACGTTTTTGCATTAGCATGACTCTATTGGCATCCGTGGAGTTACCCCATATGAGTGAACGGTGGATTTGTTAATAATGCCCCCCACCCCGGTACAAAACTAACACCATTTGAAAACAATAAAACGCAGCGAAGAAATAGAAAAGTACGAATGTTTTTATTATTAAAAGGAACCTCACAGTTTTAATGACAATTAATTGTACTGACAATTAAAAACATGTAAAAACAAACAAAAATAGTAGTCTTAATTTTAATGGCAATGCTTTTTATGGCCACGAATTTGAAATTTAGCCAGAAAAATTTGTATTAATATACCTAAGCTAAACACAATTAACCTAAATGTTAAATTTTGTACTTGTAAATTAGTCTTTAGTTTGAATGAGATGTTGTTTGTGACAACTGCCCCCTCTGTTATTATTACCCCCACAGCTTATGCTTTAATATTATTATTAAAGTATTTGTTACCACATCACAGATTACATTGTAATAATGTTTGCAGACTATGTTCTGAGGAAGGGCTTGTCCGTAAACCTGTGCTTTTTATTCTTATCACTTCTGCTCTGCCTGCGGTGCAAATGAAGTTATACTGTATTATATAGTATTAATGTACTAAAGCATTTTCACAATGTCCAATATGCTGTAATTAAAAGGTGTGTTTTCTTTACGTTTGTGCTGTGCAAAGAACTATTTAATAAGTAAATAAACAATTTATTTGTTATACAAATTATATAGGGTGGCCGCAGTGGAGATGAAGTAAAGACGAGAAAATATGATGAATAACTATATTAAATTTCCACAAAGGTATTTCTTAAACTAAATAATTTTGAGAACGTCCGAAATTAGGTACGTTATGTCTAAAAGTACTTATACGAAAAAGATCTTAACTAAAGGAATTTAGTCTACGTCTGATGTTAGGAACGTTGAGCCGAAAAGTGTCTCATAATTATAATTAAAATGACGAGTGTTGCATCGGTCACGTTGCAATGCAATGGAGTGCGCGAATGCAAGTGCATTGACCTGACGTTTTAGGTATGTATGTTATGTGCAAATCTGGATACCTAACATACATGTTAAATCTTTACTATTTGGATTTGGTCGATTTATAAAACAATAAAAAATATTATTTTAAAAATGCTCACAGGGTCAATTGTAACAGTCGGTCAATTGTGACGTCACATTTGCCTCCGGAATATGTGTTACAACTGCACCAGTGGACGTATTAGAGAAGAATATTAATTATCTTCAAAACTACTCTAAAATACATACACACAGTAATATTACCACAATCAAAAAAGATCAAAGATTGATTGAAGGACAACACAAATTATTAGACTTCTAACGAAGAATTTACATGTTTACACATGTAAATTCTAAACACATGTAAGTCTAATAATTTGTGTTTAAAAATCAATATATTCTAACTTTGGAGACACGGAAATACAAATGACCTTTAATAGTTTATCGTACCACGCGTCGCCGGCGCTTGCCTAAATACAAGACCGAACGAGTCTGAGGAGTAGGTACCAGCACACACGCGTAAAAACGACTGACCGTTTTCGAAATATAGACAATGTTTCAATTTCCCCCCGTTACTTTTGCCTCCGGTCTATCCTAGTGATTATACATTACATTATAGATATGTAACATATCTATATTTTATACATAAAATGTACGAAAGATTTATCACCACCGCGACAGACCGCGGGGGCTTCAGCTTGGGCTTTGATGGTGCCTTGGCTACCACTCTCTGCAACGTGCCATCAGCAGCTACTTTTGGGCACAGGCGTGTCGCTAGTGTGCTTATCGTCAGATTTCTTCCTTTTCCTTCTTTTATTTCCCTTCCGTTCAATGGTAAAACAGTTTCCTTGGCACCAGAGGAAGTAAGAGAACACAACAGTCCGGATGTTGACTTCGTCAGACAACTGTTTGGGCACCGGCTTGGGCACCGGGTTTGTGACCGCGGGCACCACTAACTCTCCTTGGGCCTGTGGCTTCGAAGGCTTGGGTTTCGTCGTCGGTTCCGCGGGCTTCCGATCTGCAGAAGGAACTGAGGCTCTGGCAGTTCTGAGCTCATCTGGATCGACTGCTTTCCGTCTGTCAGCTGCCACAGGAGGACGGCAGATTACAGGGGGAGCAAGCGATCTTGGATTGCTTCAAGTCGGGCGGGCACCATGGTGCCGATCGAGGTGATTATCGAGTGTTTTAGTTCCTACAATATCTCCTCATCCAATACTGTCGTCGGAGGAGCGGGCGGTGCCTCCGCGCCAGTCTCCAGCATCACGTTTGTGCGCGGCAAGGTCTGCTTTGAGGTTTTCAACCTCCTTCTAAGCCAACCGTTGTTTGCTCTGAGGCGGCGTGCTTCTTCTGACTTAGTCCTTAACGCTAGAGCCTCTATGGCCCCCTGCAAAGCGGTCGCCGCTTCTTTTAGACTTTTGACAATTTTTGACCCTTTAACGATCGAGATTTCTGGGCAACCTCAAAGATAGTGGCCGCCTTCCTGCCGGCATAAGACTCCTCCGCGGAAAGCTTTGCGGTATTATCTTCCGCAGGCGCCTCTTCCTCCTCTAAGTCTAGCTTAGGTCACCTTTCGACAGACCCTGCTGCGCAGTTCGCGTTCGATGGGGTGAACACTCCTCCTTAACGTCTCCGCGAAGGCGAGTTGTGGCCATGAGAATGGTCTGACCTGGGTTGGCGGTTTTGCCGGTCTTGCCGCCTCTTTCCCGTCGTGCTGTGCTCACTTTTGCGCGTGTGCGTGCGTTCTGGGTTGGGCTGCCCTTCTCAGTCACTATCAGCATCCTCTTATGAGTGCGGGGACTTTTGCCCTCGGGTCTTCCGTCGGAAGAAACTTCTCCACTTCCTTCTGTCGTCATCAGTCGTGAAGCAAAATCGGTGTCATATTGGTTTAGGGGTCAGGTCCCCTGGCTTTTTTCTTTTAGAGGAGTGAGGGTGGTACTTAATGCAGCAAGGTGAACTAATTCAGGTGTATTTAGTTAACGCACGTGTGCGGCGGGCGTGGAATTATCATACTTGTCTTATACTAGGAAATTGTAGTGAAATATTATTTAATATTAATTGAATATTTCACGATATTATGTTCGAATACTTAAATCATAAAAATTTCCACGAAAATTAGGGCGAGAACCCATCCAAAATTGATCCAAATAAAACAAAATAATTCATATTTTATTTGCATCTGGCAAATTATTTATTCATACATATATAACATTGGGAGGAGGGCCTGGCCTAAGGTAAGAAACATTGTAGTGAGGGAATGATTCTTTGATTAAAGTAGCTGTGAGCCTATGATTTGCTTGGTTAAAGCCGATAGTGGTACCGTAGATGTGAATTCTTCTGTTTGGACGGTTATGCTCTATGAAGCCTCCACCGAGCGCTTCGCACTTTAGAGGTAATACTTCAATTGTCACCTGTGTGTTTTATTTCAATGTCAGTTATAATTAAAGAGGAAATCGTCTATTTACTACGAGATAAACACTTTATTGTACCACAAAGTCAATTACAAATTTGAAGAAACAATTTAAAAAGTATATAGAATAACTGACAAATATTGGAAATTATTCGTCTAATTTGTTCTTTAAGTAATTTTTAAATAAGTAACTATACAGGTAGTCTCTTATATAATATTTACGTGGGGCGCACTATAAGTTTCCGGAATGAATAAGAAAAAATACTATAAATGGTCAGAAATGAATTTATTGTTTCTCAAAATATTCTTCGTTAGCGTTAATGCAGTTTTTCATACGAATGAACCAATTTTGAAAACATTAATGACACTCCTCCGTGACAATCTCTGAAACATATTTTTCATACTTTTCGACAGCCACTTCAGGTGATGAAAATCGTTAACCGCGTAACTGGTTCTTAATTTTTGGGAATAAATAAAAGTCACAAGGTGCCAGGTCGGGACAGCACGCGGGATTGCACATAAGGTCAACGTTGTTCCCCCTCAAAAATTCATTTATCTGTCTGGCCGTGTGAGAACTGACATTGTCGTGGCGCAAGATGATACGACGTTTACGGTTATTTTTACGAAGTTTGTCAATAAGTTCCGGCAAACAAATGGTCGTGTACCAATCACTACTCCAGGTACAACGAGTCTCCAACGCAACAGTAGCCACGTGTCCAGCTTTATTAAAAAAAGAAGCAATCATCCGCTTAGAGGAACTTTGCACGCGCGCCATTTTGGTTGGTTTCGGCTCATCTCGAAAGACCCATACGCTCGATTGCTGTTTTGTTTTGGGATCGTAACTATAAATCCATGTTTCGTCACCTATTACTATGTCCCACACTAAATATGACGCACCTTCGTTGAATTTGGTAAGCATGGCATTGCGCCAAGTGACGCGATCTGTTTTTGAGCATCAGTCAAATTGTGTGGGATCCACCGAGAGCACAGCTTTTTCACACCCAAATGTTTATGTAGTATTGATTGTATTTGACTCATGCCTATGCCTAAAGATGCCCGAATCTCATGGCATATGATAATATCACATGCCTGTCTATTTTGATCATACGGCGCACAGCATCGATGTTTTTGTTGTTGACAGCAGTGGACGGGCGACCATCACGAAATTCGTCACTGAGATTCACACGACCGCGTTGAATTCTGTAAACAGCTATACATAGTCGTCTTGCATGGTGCTTCATCGCCAAAAGCAGTTTGAAGCCGAGCGAAGCTCCGCTGCGCTGTTCAATTACACTTAAAGTCGTAGAAAATTATACTACGAAAAGTTTCACGAATTAAATCCATGGTGATGTAGACAACCAATTTCAAAAATGACGCCACAATGTGAAAACAAGTGACAGTCAGATGAAACAAACTGTATTTTATAGAGTTCCTTTCTAGTTTTCAAGTGTTGTAATTACTTTATAAATATTGTTTATGTAAGTGGCCAGTTCCGGAAATTTATAGTGCGCCCTATGTATTTACATTACAAAAAGTCGCAAAAAAATGATACGAAATCGCGTCCTCTTATTAATTTCATCTTAGATTTTGACTTTCGTGGTTACCTATTCACTAAATTATTGTCACTGGCGAAAGGTTTCTTAAATAACTTCTTATTTTCCGTGGTAAGAACCCATATTGCGTAAATGTAATCTTCTTATTGTTAACATTGCACTGCAGCTGCCAATTATTACTAAATATAACCAAATGAATTTTTGTTAAACCTAATTTGAAATTAGGTTTGGAACATTCCCATATTAATAAATTAATCTCAAGTGCAGATCAAGATCTCACATGTGATCTGTCTTTATTAATAAATATTGGGCGCACAATTTTTGCCGATTTGATATTCTAATTAAACTAATTCCCACTAGTTTCATATATGGAGCTTTTAGGTTTCAGTAGATCCACGTGGAACTGAGTACATGGAACTATTGGGAAAAATATTACAATCGTAAAATTACTTTAGCATGTGCTTCGGAATTTATTAGTTCCACCTGCAGCTTGATTTTAATTGCCTCCCCCGATCGGAAACTGCGTTTTTTCCGAGTCGAGGCGCATAAGGCGATTCACATCTGGCCGATCGGAAACTTTTGACATTTCTAATCGGAACAATAGGTGATTTAACTCACAAATTAGAAAGATGCATTATAGTAGGAATCAGGTTCATCTTCTCGCTCAGAAACCCATCTGATTTCGAGACTACCGGATATAATCAAAATCAGGACGCTTATCATTAAAGAAGCCCCACATGCGGTGGAGGGACAGGTTTGATACAGAAATGAAAATACTCTACGGACCAAAAATATTTTACTTAAGAGTTCTTACCCCTTCAAGAACATCTGAATGGTAGCGGAACCGTTTAGAACCTCTTATAATTTTACCACACCGTGTCCTGCCGTCACTATGCCGCGGGCACCATACATCGAACATAAGGTAGTTGAAAGTACCATCACAATCAATTTCTACTGTCGGTATTGCACCGTATATGGCACAGGGGCAGCCTGGCACCATGGCAACCTTCCCGTTTAGGGATGTAAGGTACTTTACATTATAAAATTTAGCCGGTTCGACCAATCATCTGCTTAAATGTCCATGTATCTGGACAATGATTAATGGTCTCTATTCTCTATTAAAATAGATGTGTTTTTGTTAAAACATTTCGGTTTCCACGTGAACTCAAGTTATTATTTCATCCAACGCAACATCTTTAGCCCAAACATGCTTTAGGTGTCTTAATCTTCTCCGTAATAACGTCTTTTGAAATGGCCCTCTTTGTCGAGCTCCCAAGGGTAATGTATGGGTGCATATTTGCCATCGTGTTTATCGTCAGGCCACCATTCATTCGGGGTTGCGGTAGTTATTATATGCTCAGGATATGCCTTTCTTAATATTCTCGCTGTAAGGTTGTGATCAGCCGGGCCAAAACCAATCGAAGTGCCATAAATGTGAATAATCTTATGCTCTGGATCAAAATAAATGTAGCCACCGCCCAGGGATTTCTTGGGATACGGTTTAAGACGTGTTATATTTGTCATCTAAAAATAAATCATTAGGCTAGAAAATATGCAAATTAAGTTTTTAAAACTTCTTGTAAACAAAAAGAACAAAAGTTAAATGTAATGGTGACTGTACTAAAAATTATTCAAAATTTGTAAAATTCTTCCGATAAGTTTACAACATAAATATCTTCTGGCTGTCAATAACCATAGTGCAGAGGTGCGGCACTCGTTGTTGTGTACGGTTGGTAACAACTATAATACAAGGTCGATGACCTCTGGTAAATTTGTAATCCCAAGAGTAAGTAACAACTATGGAGATAGGACCTTAAAGAAACGTATTCCATACATATTAAACGGCTTGCCAGAGGTTATTAGACATGAAACTAAAAAATGTAAATTTATAAAAAAATGTTGAAAGATCATTACTTATCGAGTTCTTAGGTTTTCGCGATTGTTACACATAGGAAATGAAACTATTTTTCCGGATTTAAAGCGCGTGTATTTGTTTTTTCAAACAAATATACGCGATCAATAGTTTCATTTCCTAGATCATTATTTCACAAATTATTGTTGAATAGGTAATGAAACTATTTTTCCGGATTTAAATCGCGTATATATTTGTTTTTTCAAACAAACCGACGGCGACGTTTCGGGCCCTTTACAGGTCCCATGGTCACGGTTGACTGAGGTGGTACAGTCTTCAACCAGTTATGTCTAATATTGATGCAAACCACCCTATTTTTTCACTATAGTTACAATAGTTATTAATTAAATATCTTAATTTTAATTTTACAAAGAAAACACTCCAATTTACGCTACATTAAGTTTTAAAATAAATAAAATAATTTGTAAAACTTAATGGCTATGGTAACCGTTCGGCCCGGAGGAAGTAAACATCATATGTTACATATTACAAAGAAGTAAATAAGCATCCAATCTTATACAACAAACCGTGGTAGCCTAAGCGCCAGTTACACGAGAAGAAAGTTTTCGCGCGGCCATCGCTCGGCGACCCTTTCGAGGTCTACCTTTACGCACGCGCGCGATTTTAAGCAGCGATGCAAACGCGATGCAAGCGCGCGACTGCATAGATACAAACGCGCAATTGCATCGCTACACTTTGGATTTATAGGCGATTGCATCAATGCAATCGCGCGTTTGCATCGATGCAGTCGCGTGTTTGCATCGATGCAATCGCTTATAAATCGCAAGTGTAGCGATGCCATCGTGCATTTAACGAACGCGCGTTTGCACCTCTACTAAAAGTCAATGTGTGTAACCACTTTTTTATTATACGGCAAGTTGTAAAACGGTGACTAGGTAGGGAGGCCAGCGCGCGTGTTTCGCAGCAAGAATGGGGAGAGAGGGATATGGTTGAATATTTCTTCAGAGCACTCGGCACATGGTAAATTGGATAAAAGCCTAAGCTAAGCTATGCAACATTTCTAGCAGAGGTTCAAGGTGGGATGAAACCTCTTCATCGCTGATAACTTCTGACTTAGCTTAGATTTATTTGGTGCTGTTTAATGATAATATTTCTTACCTCCGTATACATGTCAGAATGGTAATCATATCGACGTCCTCCCCGGACGACCGTAATGCATGGGTTCGAGCCATTTGGATGCCTAGGACAAGAAATAGCTATAAGGATATATTTAAAAGTTCCATTTTCATCTATGTCTACTTTAGGTATATTTGTCAAAATAGGACAAAAGCATCCTATGGTGGGCATGGTACGACACTGTTTAATTGTTACTGTAAATATGCACACAGGTCATTTTACACCCCTTATGGTTTTATTTTACCATATTATTTGGGTTTAATAGGTTTTGTGTATGATACATAACGGAGAAGGTATTTTATGCTGTTATGATAAGTTTATTTTGTTTTATTTCTCTTTTTTTGTTTGTATACGTTCACCATTTTTCTAGATAACACAAGAATGTTTACAAAATGAATGGGAAATCTGGGGCTCGATCGATCGGTAGGTAGTGATCAGGGAATGCATAGATTACAAAGAGAATGAAATGACAGATGATTTTTTTTAAAATAAGTTTTTATCCATTTATTTGTGTAAGCAAAGATACATACAGCCTCTTCATTATATTATTCTTGTTTTGATGAGAAATGCGTAACATCTGTGACTGATGCAAAATGAGATTTAGTTTGTTATTGGCACTTCGCAGTACCTATGCGTTTGTTCCAAAATATTGATATACGAGATGTATCAGGGAAGTGGGTTATAAATAAAATACGTAAATAATGGGAACAAACAGATAGGCATAAGTATATATATTTATAATTTGGTAAAAAGACGTACGGAATTAGTATGGAGCTTGGTACTTTATTCCCCGGAAAACTTTAACCAGCCTCAAATTTTTTGCTAGATATAAGGATGAAATAAAAGAGCTTAGTAAAATAATAAAAATATAGTGACCTGCATTTTCTGTTTATTTATTTAAAACAAAGTGTGGTAGATATATTAAAATATAATTAAAAATTAATACGAGGTAAATTCGAAATAAATCTACTGGAAAAACACTACTCTGCTAGGTCTACACCTGACAACACTGCACAAAGTACGCTTTCTTCCAGGTGGTCACTTTTGGGTAAAATTCTTAGGGTCGTATTCCAGAACTCTTCTCAATGCTCAAGTCAGGATTTGAGCAGACTTGAGTGTGATTTCAAGCACTGGAAATACGACCCTAATGGCAAGGACTTGAGTATGATTTCTAGTGCTTGAAATCATACTCAAGTCCTGACTTGAGCATTGAGTAGAGTTCTGGAATACGACTCTAGGATGGATAAAAAATGTTTTTTTTTGGTACTGCTTGTTTCCATTGGAAAAGGCAAAGGCACTGATGCGCCACACAGCCAAGACAGAGTAATTTCTTTCTCTAAAATATTAGTTTTACGGCATCGGAATAAATCCTTCAAGCCAAATCTTCAACAATTTTTTTTCATATCTTTTTAAATATTGTGTTTATGAGACTTTCTTCTTTTAATAAAAATCAAGTATTTGAAGGTATAGATACCTATATCTCTTCATGTGCCTGTAATTTATTTCACTTTCCCTTATCCATCAAAACTGGAACACAGTAGAAATAGGTAAGGTGGCAATACTTCTCTGGACGATATCTTTCACGAGGAACCTTACTGCTACAAAAAAAGTGTGAAAACGTAAGACTCTCACATTTATAATAAGTATTAGTTTGGATAGAACTACTCGATAACATTGATCTATCACTTTTATTAAAAAAAAAAGGAACCGATTTCAAACTTTGCTTATTAAGTACATACTTACCAAATGAAACTAAAACAGTTAACAATTGGTTACCGGCAAGCGCGCGAAACTGGATTCATCACCTAGTTTGGCACCGTTACGAGGTAGAATATTTTCTTAAAATTTAAATGGGACCAATACTGAGGCATCCTCTTTCCAAAAAAATAATAATAATCGATTCCCAAATGCCGGCCCAATAATCGCGTAAATACATACAAAAAAACAGTCAAATTGAGAACTAACTTTTTTAAAAGTCTGTTAAAAATAGGTTTTACGGTAGTGAAAAGGGAATCTAGTGGTGAGGAGGACGTGGAATAAAAAGAAATGGTCGTTAGCAGATTATTAAGATTTATTTTGTACCTTATACTACGTTTACAATGAATAGGTCGTGTTGACGACGAATCGTCGTTAACCATTAACTTGAGCGCCGTGGGAGTGATACGATTATTTCAAAAATATCCTGTACATTTATTGTAATAAAGATAATATCTAACAACGGGGGCTGTTTCATTCGGTGGTGTGGGAAAAACAGCAAAACATCTAATTACAAAACAAACGGAATCACTTTTCATCGGTAATGAAATATTAAATGTAATTTTTAAATTTTCGTCCATTATAGCAAAGCTCAAGTTAAATTGGTCGTTTTGAAGTGAAACAATTGACGACCGACACCCGTCAATTGTTTCGAATTTATTCTGGCCAATCGGCGCAGTTTCACAGTAATGATTTGACAGAATAATTTTCAAACAAATTAAATGATATTTCGTCTCTATTTCTGGTTATATACTTGATGCGCTAAAGTATCTTATCGTGAATTATACCAAAGAGCCCAGTAAGTCTTAAAAATATTCTCCGTAAGTGTGTGAGTGGCATTCTAGATGGTAGGCGTAGGATATTTCCTTCACGACCTGCATTTTGTATACAAAAAACTTCTTATTGTATCGAAAGCATACACTGTACTATTGTGGGGCAGAACTCGGCCACATCAAGTATATAACCAGAAATAGATACGAAATAAGGGCCATACATTGCTGGGAACTCGTAAATGATACGTCACTAATAAACATCAAACTCTCGTTTGCACTGAAACAAAGTCAGACCAGCAACTGACATGAGTACGTCTCCGTATATTCCAAAAATATTCTGTATTTATTGTATCACACCATTGTTAGAGATATTATCTTTAACATCTCTAACAATCGTGTGCTGTTCCATTCGGTGGTGTTGAGAAAAACAGCAAAACATCTAATTACAAAACAAACAAAATCACATTTCATCTGTAATTAAATATTAAACATGTAATTTTGCAATTTTTGTCCATTATAGGAAAGTTAACTGGTCGATTTGAAGTGAAACAATTGACGACACCCGTCAATTGTTTCGAATTCGGGCTGGCCAATCGGAACGCAGTTGTCACAGTAATGATATGGCAGAATAGTTTTCAAACAAATGAAATAAAATGTCGTCTCTATTTCTGTTTATATACTCGATGCTCGGCCACGTTTACGTAATAAGTCTGAATCATTGTTGGTTGTTAGTAAATGCAATATACAGGCATGGACCGATTACTCGAGAGGGTTGCTAATCTCCGCTTTTTGCCCGTGGATCTGGTTGGTTCACTGGAGTCGACCACAGGTGAACAACAGGAAGAAAATTATTTCTTCCTGTTGTTCACCTACATATGTCATTTACGTAGCTTTGAAAAAGGTCAAAATTCCGTGTTACTCTAGATGACGCTGATCAAATAGCCTGGAAGTAGTTCACATTATGTAAATGGACGTGGATATCTATAAAATATCGTCGCCTTTCTTTCTCAAACTCGTATCTTAAAGCACAAATTTACTGAAATGCAAAAAATGGATCGCATATACAAGTTTTGCAGACACATTTCCTTCATATTCAAACATTGGCTTTTACTTATTTTTAAACTGATTCATCCGAATTAACACCCATGATAAGAAATTTAAAATAAATAGAAAGTTTTGCGATCTCCTGTATAATCACTATTTTTATGTTATGAGCTTGAGAAAGTAAGGCGATATAACAAGTCAGTTTTTTCCTTATAACTTAGAATAATAACGCATAGAATGATAGTTTCATATCAAACGAACTGTCACAAGTGAGGCAAAAATCAAATTCATGTAGGCTAGTTTTAGTAGTACGTTAATTTTCGGTTTTAGTGAATATTTATATAAAAATACAAGTTGAAACGCGTTACTTCCTTGTGGAATGTGATGTTAGTATCTATTTTATGTTTGTCTGACGTATTTTTACACTCATTTACCGCACATTTCGTCATTTTTAGCTAGAATTCTTGAGCTGTTCGCGGTGCAAGTTGACCTTGAGCACTGAAGGCCCGCCCGCTCGTGTAGGCCCTTTTGGCGCGCTTCAATTTGCCTCACTTAGCGTGTGCGGACTAGGTTTCTATGCGTTATTATTCTAAGCCTTGTAATATTATTCAAATATTGATCATGAGCTATGAACTTATTTTCGAAACTTTTACAAGTATGCGTGTCAATAGCTGGTATTGTGTGTTACAAATTAATTTATAAATTAACGCTTCCTAATATGGGTAGATGGCACTAATCCTAAACAAAACAAAAGAATAGCTGGCACTGTCTATAAAAATCTGTCCAATAAGCGCCATCTAGTCTGATTTGTTTGTTATCACTATAAATTAGAGTAGCTTTGATATTTCTTTTTGGTTTGGATAGAAGTCCCTTGAGCCATGTGTTCATAGTCAATGTAAAACAAATTAGTGAAAAAAAACTCCTTTTTGGTACTCGCGACATCTGGTGTACCAATAGGTACTAAGCTCACGACTACGCTGTCTCGTACCTATCGCAATTAGCAGTTGGTCCATTTACAAAAGTTACACTTCTCTTATGAGTCACATTGAAAAACGATCGGAGTTGCAGTGAGAAAATGTCCATCTTTAAGTCCTTTCACTTAGTCACTGACAGTGACTGTGTAGCCAGGGTATGCATCTTCGAGCATACGAGCCGCGGTGGCGTGATTGCCCGTGCCGTACTTCTCTGATGTGCCATGTATGTGAATCGTCTTTTTATCAGGATCGTGATCAATCATCCCACCACCAACCGCTTCACCAACTACTGGTTTCGTTTTTTCGTTTACCTGAAAAATTAAGTCTTGTTGATTTAGTTTAGTAGTTAGTTTAAACAGGTTGATTAGTCAACTACTAATATCTTAAATAACAACTGTTGTTGATTGATTAATTTTGAATTTTGAAATGGGAGAGGCGGTATTATTATTATTATTACCTTAGAATAATAACGCATAGAAACCTAGTCCGCACACGCTAAGTGAGGCAAATTGAAGCGCGCCCAAAGGGCCTACACGAGCGGGCGGGCATTTAGTGCTTAAGGTCACCTTGCACCGCGAACAGCTCAAGAATTTTAGCTAAAAATGACGAAATGTGCGGTAAATGAGTGTAAAAATACATCAGACAAACAAAATAGATACTAACATCACATTCCACAAGGAAGTAACGCGTTTCAACTTGTATTTTTATATAAATATTCACTAAAACCGAAAATTAACCTACTACTAAAACTAGCCTACATGAATTTGATTTTTGCCTCACTTGTGACAGTTCATTTGATATGAAACTATCATTCTATGCGTTATTATTCTAAGATTATTACAATACCAAAGAAAATAGAAAGCTGTTTTCATGTGGTTCACGTTTTTTTAAATACACAAAGTCAGCATACGCATCAGCGTCCGCTGATGTGTAAAAGATCAGCATCAGCAAGAACCCTGGTTGTGATTACGTGCGGTAAGGACGTGCGTTTTGTACATATTCTTATAAATCATACTTACCTCATTTATAATATCCGTATGACTTTGATGCCTGTTATGTCCCACCACGAGGTAAGACTCGTGATTATTATGCCCACATTTTAATTTCACGAGGATATACTTGAAGCTTCCATTATCGTCAATGTCTACTGTGGAAACATTGTCGAGAAGCGGGCAGGTGCATGGTTCTTTTGATATACTCATGTCGCAAGAATTTTCTCTCACAAATAATAAAAAATATTTGAGCTCGCAGCAGAACTACATACCGTTATGTATTATTGCTTTCATTTTTTCGTTTTTTTATTTATTCATGTAACATTGTGTACAGGGATTTTGCTGCGAAGAAAAACATTTAATACAGTTCCTAGGTGTACAGAAAGTTGGACCAAAGATACCAAGTTAAAAAGTTAATTTTAGTATTACTACGTTAGTATTAAACTTGAGCCACTTATGTAATACTTTATTATTATTAAATTGACATTTTTTTTTCCATTTTCTAAGACTTCAGCTAACCGTAATCATGACATGATCAAAGACTTAGAAAGATGAAAGTGACTAAAATGTAGTGTACCTATTAAATTTTTTTATGATTCTTAACAAAGAGAACAAACTTAATGTGTCTAAAACAATGTTCGTTCAAAAAGACAAGGAAAAAGAATAACCAAAAATCAGAGGATCTTCATCTTTTCTGTTCCTATAATAAAAGAAGAATTTATTCATTACGTCAATAAAAATCGACGAAGTATGCACTTTTTCTGTTCTTCATGGCGATGGTGTTCCGGTTTTTTCAAAGCCTAATTTTCTTTACCTTTACAAATTTTGGCACTTCAGGGAGATTCTAAGGTTCAAAGTAGTAAAGATAATGAGGTATTTTCCTTATACACTAGGACAAAAAACAATACTAGTTCTCTGGACAACGCAAAAATGTGATAAATAACGCACATACACCCACATCCTCGCACTAGGGAAACCCTGTATCGCGGGTGACATGGACACACACACATAGACCACCACAAATTACATCGAAACTCACGAGAGAAGTAGACCATACAAATATTTCTCCCGGCCTGGGAATCGAACCCGGGACCTCTGCGTGGCAGATCAGCATGGTACATGAAGAATTAGCCGAATTAAGGTTCATTAGGTTACCCGCAGTGGAAGCTTGCTGGCTTACAACCATTGTAGAAACATTGTCCCTTGTCCAATAAACTCCTATTAATAATAATAATGATAATAATAATTTATTTATTTCAGACAACATTTAAGGTCCATTTTAATGTTAGTAGAGCTTATCCTAGATTAATACTTAATAACTAACAATGAAATTGGCCTCTGTGCGAGTATACATCATCGGGCAATCAGGTCTATGAGCTATCGCTTTCAGGATGCCGTTACAGCTCCCGCGCATTCTGTTCAACAGCGAGGCAGTTTTCTTTCGCCAGACTGCATCAAAGTCGTCCACACGCGCATCTGCGAACATGCTCGAAGCGCTGCAAAAGCGCGGGAGCTGCAACAGTGCCCTGAATGCATTATTAAATTGGACTCGCAGAGCATTGTACGATTTTTGGGTATATTTGAACCACAAACTTACCGTGTACAGTGATGTACAAAATGCCTTAAACAATGTTATCTTCACTGTATCCGTACATCTAGCAAACCTTCGAACCAACATGTTCGCCCGAACTGACAATGCCCTGCGCTCCCTTTCCATATCCGCATCATCTCTAAGATCCTCGGTTACCAAATGCCCAAGATATTTAAATTGAAATACTCTTTTAAGAGTAACACCGTTGAGTAACACGGGTGGTACAAGTCCTACTTTTGTAGGGCACTTGTTTCCCGCCTTAAAGACCATGTACACTGTCTTTTTAACATTGTAAGCTAGACCATGTGACTCCGCGTAGGACTCACGTATATTAAGCAGCTTTCTCAGTGCGCTAACTGAAGGTGCCAGCAGCACCATATCGTCCGCGTAACTGAAATTATTGACTTTTAACTGCCTCCGTGGCCCAACGGTTACCATACCGGACTGCCACGCAGAGGTCCTCGGGTTCGATTCCCGGGCCGGGAGAAATATTTGTATGACCTACATTTATTTCTCTCGTGAGTTTGGGTGTAATTTGTGGTTGTCTATGTGTGTGTCCATGGCACCCGCGACACAGGGTTTCCCTAGTGCGGGGCTATGTTGAGTGTGTGCGTTATTATTATTATTATTAAACGTCGTCAATAAAACAACCAAGCTGCTTGCCGCCAAGTTCCTCAATCAGCGCATTCATATATAAATTGAATAGAAGGGGTGAGCTCAAGCCACCCTGTCTCACCCCGCATTCCATGCTCCATGGATCCGAGAACTCACACGCCCACCGCACACGGCTTTCCTGATTCAAGTACCAGAATCTAAAGAGAGATACCAACTCCGGTGGCAGCCCAGTATCATTTAGTTTCCGCCAGAGGATGTCATACGAAACCAAGTCAAATGCCTTGGAGAGATCTAAAAAACAGGCATAGACGGGAGTTTGTCTATCAGTGTAATACCTAACAGTGCGCTTCAAGCTGAAAATAGTAGTTTCTGTTGACAGCCCGGGCCGAAATCCGAACTGCGCATCCTGTAACTTTACATGCCGGCTCAAATAAGAGTTCAGCACACTATCAAGCACTTTTGCTACTATCGTAGCTAACGAAATAGGCCTATAATTTGACCTGTCCGATACATCCCCGGTCTTGCTTTTGACAATCGGCACCGCCAGAGTCCGCAACATATCAGGAGGTAGGTACGAGTGATTTACACATAGGTTAAATAACAGCGTGAGCACTCGTGGGAGGTGTGCACCGGCATGCCGCAAGTGATCTACGCTAAGCCCGTCATGACCTGGCGACTTACCACCACGCATTTTAAAAATGGCACGCTTTATGTCTTTGGTGAGAAATGTTGTTCAAATGTTCAGCTTTCGATTCCTAACGTCGTCAAACTTCCGATTGGGATGCCCCAGAGGAGATTGGACGGCAAAGTGATTTTTAAAAATATTTGCAATATTGATAGGATTGGACACCCCATCGACACTCACGGGAATACTAGGCTCAGCCTTCAATTTATTGGTATGTTTCCAAAAATTCTTAAAGTCCGATTTTGAGTGAAGTGACGCTATTAGATCCATTCTTATTTGATCTTGGTGGTTTTGACACCACTTCAACTTACCTTTAAAAATTTTACGCGCTTCAATCATAGCTTCGTATATTTTATACTATTATTATATATAGCTATTGCCTTTATTTGAGACCTTACATTGAGTAAGGTTGAATACTATTCCAGATTAAGGAGTTAGGTTTCGGAGGGTTTAGACAATTGTTAACGTTGCAAGGATACTAAAATTAGGAACCCGTTTGCATCCTGTCTGGATTTAAAATTACGAATGGTATCTTCTGTGATTGTGGTCTCTCCTCGTCTCGTCGTTCTTAACTGTCCTTTGTTGTATAATTCTTGTATTTATCATTACCTTCTTTCCATTGACATTCGTATTCGAATCATGCCGTTCAGCTTACACCATCATATCATTCATAGTACGCGTGCTCTTGCTATTTTATTAGAGGTCTTATGGTAGTTTTCCACCAGCGAGGCGTGACGAGGCGAGGAAAGACGAGAATTGAAATCTCGCCGGCCTATTTCCACTAAATGATTGTGGATAGAGAAGATTCAGTGCTGTTCAGTTCATCTAGCGGTAAATACGCGGCTGAAGTAACATGTTCCGTCTACTATTATGATTAAATATGTTAACGGCAGAAAAATTGGATAACAACATATTAATTAAATTTTTATTGAATTGAAATATTCAATTATTTTTTGTGAAATTACTCCACTAGTTTGTTATAATTATTAATACAAAGATCGAACACTCATCGCCAGGACTGGTAGCTGTAAAGGTACTAACTGGGTGATAAATCTGTCAAAGATTTCTCATAGATGGCGCTACGACTAAAAAGTTGTTGAAAGACCAAGTACAAACACACGACGCAAGCACATAGAAAAATTCGTGAGGTCCGTTGGTTCGTTCCGTAGCTTAGTTGGTATAGCGTCTGGCACGGTATGCAAGAAGACGTCGGTTCGAATCCGACCGGATCGAAGGAATTTTTTCTGAGTGTTTTTTCTGAGTGTTCGATCTTTGTATTAATAATTATAACAACATATTTTTTAAAATCTCAAATCGCACGACAATCTCGCGATTGTTATTAATATGGCTATTAATTGTGTTCGCGATGGATCGCGAACACAATTAATAGCCATATTAATAACAAGCGAGCTCGAGACCGTGCGGGCATTTCAATTCTCGCCTCACCCATCCTCGTCAATCCAAACCAATTCCAACAAAAATGGGCTAGGCGGGAATTGAAATTTTGTAGCACTTCCCTATCTTGATCCAAAATCTATCCAATATTTTTTTTGTATAGCGATAACTTTTGACTTCTCTGTTTGGGTCATTAATTTCACACCAAACATCAGGGTAATAGGTATATGCCTAGAGCAGTGAGCATAAATTGTTTACAAGTATAATATCATTGCCTTAGTAAAGGGGCTGTGACATATAAACTAGGGCACCCGGTTTGTTGACACTTTTTTTTTCGAGTCTCGAGAATGATCTCGAAAAAAAACGTGTTCTCGAGTTTATCGAGAAATTTTTTAAAACTCAGCTCAATCTACTATAATATAAATAAAATCACCAGTTAACCGTAACCATTGGACATGTAAAGAGCCCGAAACGTTGGTTTGTTTGTCTGTTTGTTTGTTTGTGGTTGGTTTGTTTGTTGGTTTGTCTCGTGAGAACTCTAATACAAACTGACAGACAAGATGACACTAAAAAGATTTCTAGCTGGACTACACAACCCAAAATATTGTACTGACTATTGGTGTGAAGGTATTTTCGGGTAAATTGATGACAAAGATACTGTGTCACTGTCGCTGGTTTTTTGCTGATGACTTCTGAACCTGGTTTCTCTAAGGACCTACAGATTTTGTCAGCAACAGATGATCGACATCCAATTTTTATTGATCAAAATGTATAACGAGACAAAATCAAGTAAATGCCTAAGAAGCAGACGATCGATATCGTATTTTTTGTAGATCAAGATGTCTTTCGTCACAAAATCGAGCGAATTTCTAGATTGCTTGGCTAATTAGCACTAGAACTAGTATCCTGACGATTTAGTGCACCGTTTTTTTTTTAATGTAAAGAAGGAGGCAATCGAGCAGAGGAGCCATTTGATAGGAGGTTGTCATCGTCGCCAATGGACATTTGCAACATCAGATGAGCCGCCTATGCGTTGCCAGGCTTTGAGAGCCCTGCAAAAACACGCTTTTTGAAGAACCCCATGTCATAACGCAAAGGAAATACTTCAGGAGGAACATCATTCCACATCTTGCAGGTTCGAGGAAGGAACGAACGAGATGCCCGCGTGGTCTTACTATCCCAGGCATCTAAGATGTGGGGATGGACTCTATTCCTTTGGCGGGAGGTGCGATGGTAGAAACGAGACGGTGGCACTAGTTCGAAAAGTTCCTCAGAGCACATCCTCATTATAAAGACGGTAGAACGCACACAGAGAGCCAACGCTTCTATGTAGGCTAAGGGGCCTACATACCTTCTGCGAGTTTGGGATCGTCGACAATACGAACAGCCCTACGTTGGATGGAGTAATGTGGATCAAGCTGGTGTTTGGAAGCTCTTGCCCAGAGATGCGAGCACTACTCCATATGGGGCCGTAGTTGTGTTTTATATAACAAAAGTCGATGACCTGGTGCGAAATACTGCTTCGCTCTATTGAGCCCTCAGAACTTTTTTGAAGCCAGTTTAGCTTAGCTCTCCAAATGACTCCGGAACTGGACTTCGTTTGTGATGTCGACTTCAAGTATCCCAATACTCTTAGAGATGGTAAGGGCAGTATTCGGCATGATTGATTCGGATGACATAGGTATGCGGAACCAGATATTTAAAAATATGCGAATGATTCGTCTGCGGCATCCCTATTGGAGAGTACCGATCGTTAAATCTTCCAATTAGTTATAAATAAACTCTTAAAACTTAAATAAACTTCCAAATAAACCCTAGTATAAATCTATTTCTGCTAATTAATTCCAATAAAATAAGTGTTCGGGATGTTTCGGAATAACGGTACTAATGACCTTGGAGTGTTGTTTGGCTCCAAATTAAGCTTTTCATATCTGATCACATTGTAGCAAAGGCTAACAAAATGTTTGGATTCGTTCAAAGATTGGTAAGACCATTTCTATATCTGTTTTTTTCCCTTGTGCGCAGCTGTTCGGAGTATTGCTCAGTAGTATGGTCTCCTTCTTATGAAATTCATATTGACCGAATCGAGGCTATCCAGAGGCGACTACTTAGGAACTTATGCACTAAAATTGGACGTAAACTGGTGACGTATGAGGCGAGACTCAAATTTTTTAAGGTTAATCCTCTACATATTAGGCTGGTACTGCAGGAATCTACTTTGTATAAAATTATTAATTATAATTTGGACGCCAGTGAACTGTTAGACCACGTCTCATGGATCGGCAACATGCGTGTTCGGACTGTTTTTGATACCTCGCTGTACCAATAATGTCACATATAGTAGCCCTATCTTTCGGATGTATAGAACTTCTAATGGTATTTGTAGAGATGTAGATATGATCTCTCAGAGTCATAAAACATTTATGAATAACTGTTCACGGTTATTGAGTTGTGTTTCTGTGTAGTTTTCTTTATTTCTGTTTTTATTACTTTTAAGAATTGTAGTAAGATTATTTTACCCTAATGTCTCATTTTAAGTAGGAAGTTAATTTGCAACTTAAAAAGGGCTCAAATGGTTGTGTATAGCTATAAAAGGAATACGAATTTACTTACATTTTTTATGATCTACCTGTTATAGTTAAGTTTTTAGTTTATATTCTGTAGTTGTGCCAAATAAATAAAATAAAAACTAACATTAGGGTTTAGCTCTAATAGTTAACTTTATTCACTGATGTAATATGTGTGTATACAAATATCTTTTTATTCTTCGTCGTCATTCAGCCGTGATTACGTATCCAGGATATGAATCCTTGACTAGGGTTGCCGTCAATGAATGATCAGCCTTGTCATAAACATCTGACGTGCCGAAGATATGGAGCGTCTTTTTGACGGCATTATGCCTAATTTTGCCACCACCCATCACTTTGTGACCGCAAACTGGTTTCACTTTTTTCACTACCTAAAAAATAAATTCTTAATAAGTCAATTCTTTTTTCGATGCCTTACTTTCACAAACTCGTATCTTATAAAGAGTGATTATTATTATTCAGGACATGGCAAAACGTTATATTTATTTTAAATTCTTTATCAAGGTTGTAAATTTGGATCATTGACTTACAATTATATGGACGTCGGGTCCGCGCTAAAAAGCGTCCGAACTTATAGGGCGTTAAAATCGTATACAGAGCGTCATTCATGCTCTAGTCTTCGTTTGTTCGACTGACAGCGAAGCAAGCAAAATTAGATAGTACTGCGATGACATTATAATTTAAATTCAACGTTTTAGCTTTTTCATATTCCTTTACATGTCACTACGTTTAAATAGGTTGACTTGGGTCATTTTTTTCGTGGTTTTTGTATTAGACCCGTCGTCCATTTATTTGTAAGTCAATGATTCACAATCAACTATTGCTCCGATTTGAAATGTCAAAAGTTTCCGATCGGCCAGTTGTGAGTCGCAATTATTCGTCTCGACTCGGAAGAGACTCAGTATCCGAGCGGGAGAGGTAACCAAAATCAAGCAGCTGATATGGAGTTCTTTTCATGAGCCCTTGGCCGGAATGTGTACTAATAGACATAAAAATATATTTATAATATTAACGCGATTTAAAGTTCTGTTCTTGTTCTGTTACTAACTGTTCTCGATGAATGTCCGAAATATTCGTTTTCATTTGATTTTCGGACCCTTTGCAGGTTCCATAGTCACGGCTCACGGCTGACAGAGATGTTAAAGTAAACAATTTCGTTTGTAATTATAGTTCAGAATAGGAAGGTTTGCATTAAGCTTAAATATTTAAGTGACATCATAATAATGAAATAAATGAATTATTATTATTAATGTAGGACGTAACTGGTTGATGACTGTAACATCTTTAGTCGTAATGCTTTGGCCACACATAGGCGGCCGGGCCGCGGAAGTGTTCGGGCCGCGGGATTAAATATACGAGTTTATATCATATAAACTCGTACATTATAAAAATTCCCGGCCGCCTCTATGTGGACAGAGCATAATCAACGCCCCGAAACGTTGGTTTGTTTGACAAAACAATTATTAAGCGATCCGTAAAATATTTTCATTTCTAATTTCTAAAAGTTATACTTATGCATTTATATAAAAAGAGACAGATATCATAGAGTCGAACACAGAACAATAAATACAATAGTAGTGGTTAGTGTCACGTGTCCCGATAGATCACGCAGTTATTTGTAGCAGTAGAGCTTCTAGTGAGAGAGTTCGTCCAGGGAAGTACGGCCACCTTACTTATTTCCGTCGCCAGTCAGCAATGTGAGCATTACTGCGTTCCGGTTTTGAAGGGTAAGTGAAATTACAATTACAATGAGTGCTGGTGAAATTGCAGGCACATGGGGCTTGTCAACTTATGTCACAGGGTTTTTTTATCATGTCAAGTGACGGGACGAACGAGTCGTGCGACTGATGGTAAGTTACACGCCTGTCCATAACAGTTGCAGTGCAACTCAGAGCTTTAAATCGCAAAGATCTGAGGGCTCTGACTGCTATGGATAGGCGTGTCGCTTATCACCAGGTGCACGATTTGTACGTCCCGTCATTTGGTATTATGAAAAAAAAGTTTAGCTTAGTATGTTATGTCAATCTCGCACAAAACCTCAAAAACCGTGATAAAATGCTTTATTTTGCTATTTTGGTCTGCAAAAATGCTATCATTTTTGCAGACCAAATTCCGCACTTATAATGTTATCCATTTCGGTGTTTCACGGTGTTTCATATCATCGTTAAGTGAGTATGTGAGTTTGGGTGTAATTTGTGGTTGTCTGTGTGTGTGTCCATGGCACTCGCGACACAGGGTTCCCCTATTGCGGGGCTATGTCGAGTGTGTGCGTTATTATTATTATTTGGTATAAGAAACGAAAGTAAACCATACAACGCTGCAACTTGGACTTTTTTTGGAGAATGTTTATAGGCATTAATAGTTCGTCGTGATTCAGCTATTGCCACTAGATGGCAGCACGTTGAATTAAACTCAATATAAAATCAAGACGTCTTAACTTGCAATAATATAGGTATGGTAATTTTCCCTGATATGCCTATAGAGTAAAGTTTAAATTATATTAACATTCAAAATGTGAGTTTTGGCAGCAGCCCTTCCCATGTGTTTCTTCCGTGACTTCGCGGAGGGCACCGAGCTTCTAGTGCTAATTGATTTTAGATGTTCTATGCGCTCAGTGTACCTACTTGTGCGAGTGACATGCGTTTTTAAAGCCATGTGTAATCACAAGCGACACAACCTCCACATCCGACGGCAGAAGCAGGATTAAAGCGGACAGGGGTGGACCGCGTGCGTATATAGCGTAGGTATATTTGTTTTTTCAAACAAATCAACGTTTCGTGCCCTTTACAGGTCGCGGTTGACTGACCATGGAATCAGTCAACCGTGACCTGTAAAGGGCCCGAAACGTTGGTAACCATCGCGAAAACCTAAGGACTCGATACAAGTAATCGTGTTTCCAAGTGAATCCTTAAATATCTTATAGGTACATAAATTTCATAACTAATGCTTTAGTAATAACAATACAACAAGGGATCAGACGAACGCAATTATTTTGCATTTACGTATCTTTACTTCGGCAACTATTCCGCAATCTGTCTCTTATGTCATATTTCTACTTTTCTCACCTCTTTATAAAGATTTTCAAAGGTTTTGTGTCGATTGTGACCCCTAACGAGTATAATTGGGTCTCTTAATGTATACGGGCAAGTTAATGCGAAGAGGATATATATGAATTCTCCTTTAGGGCTAAGATCTACTTGCGGCATGCCTTTTTTTAGTTCCGAGCAGGTACAGTATTGTGTTGCAGTCACAGGGCTTTCGAATTCTCCGTTTCGAATTGGCATTTCGGTGCTGAAGCAAAATCAAATAAAACAACGTTTAATTTTCGTATACATAACGGGACCTCAGTTAGGTAGGTCACGTAGGTGACGAAATACTTTCATAGGTTTCTTATAGATAGCGCTACGGCTAAAAAGTCGTTTAAAACCAAATACATACAAAGATCCGACAACAAGCTCATAGAGAAATTCGTGAGGTCCGCTGTTTCGTTCCGTGGTGTCGTTGGCACAGCGTCTGGCATGGTTTGCTGGAAGACGTCGGTTCGAATCCGGACGAATCGAAGGAATTTATTCTAACCGTTCGATCTTTGTATTAATAATTATAACCACGGAAGAAAAATTTATGTGGTCTGTATAACAAACTAGCCAAATTCGATGTAGAATAAATATCAACAAACAAAAACATTTTGGATTGGATTTTGGATTTGGATTATGGATAATACTAAATCTTGAAGCCAAACATGGCTTCAAGATCTGGTTATGGCATATTTAATGCTAATTTGTCTTATTGTTGCGTTTTTAGGCCACATAAAACTAACAAAGTTAATTTATAAAAATCAAACATTTTTGCGTAGCTCAGAACAGGTTAAAATATCGACAGATTTAATTTATTTTATGTCTCAGAGAAAGAGGACCAATCATTAAAAAATATGACCGTTTAGATTGTTTTGCCTGCTGCAAATCTTAAAGCAAAATGCACGATACATACGCGCGACTACAGCGCGTCTGCGGCACGTATGCATATACGCGCAAATGACGCGCGTTTACGACGCCACTGAATTTGTTTTATTGTACATTAAACAAAAGTTTATATGGGTCATCTGCGCGTCGTCGGCGCGTGTAAAATACGCCTTGTAGCATTGCAACATTTATACCGTTTCGTTTTGTCACTTATATTATAAACTGCTATGAATAATTAACAATAGACGACAACAGTTAGGAAACGTTGTGATTTTAGTCCTGACCTCCAACTCTACTTACCTAGTTGTCGTATGTTGTTAAAATCGCAATTCCTTCTCTTCTGCCTGTATTGTATATTATAGGAAATTTTGGAAGTTTAGTTTTTTGGATATATTTGGCTGGATAAATGATCATGTTCCTCACATAAACTGCTGCAAATGAAGACGCCGCTCAAAAGCTAGTACCTAACATTTTCATTTTCAAATTTTTTCGTGTGCAGGACATCTCGCACTTGTCTGGTTTTTTCGGTCCATATTTAGGTAATAGTATGTCTAAGGGTTCTAAATGTATTGCATAGTTTCTTCATTAGCCTTTTATATTTCTTCCGACATTAAAATGTAAAATACATGTCTGCCCTCTGGTGTTTTTGGTTTCATCTAAATAGGACTACATAAATTACGCAGAAATAACCAAAAATTTTGCCCACACTTCAAGTTTTAAACATATTGACAACCAGCGGAAAAGATTGTCTTGAACAGAAGATTTTTTGATCATATGTCAGTTGAGTTTTTAAAAATATTGTTGAATATATTATAATATTCCTTTATATTTTCAATCCTTTTCAGGTTAATATATTTTCTATCATACATGCATTTTATACGAAGCTGACGTTAATAAGAAACTTTAATTTTTTTAAATAAGAAAAGGAAAATTTTTATTCCTTTCCATCCTCTAGCTCTTTATGTTTAGAAGGGTGTTGTTTGATGTTGTCAAAGAGAAGTAAAAAAAGTTATTATCCGTATAGTCAAGAGCACGTCAAGGTTAACACTTTGTACTTTGGACCGTTCTTATCGTAAGCGGCATAGAGTTGGATTTAAATCTTGTGTCAAGTTTGACTTGCTCTTGCCCTGTACACTTAGATAGGAAAAAATAAAAGAACCTGTACAATGATTTCGAACAGCAGCAGCAGGTACCGCTATCAGCGGCTGACAAGAGATGGAAGAATAAGAAACTGATCGAAGGGATTTTTCGTTGTGTTTGTTCGATCTTTACATCAATAATAACACATTAGTGGAGTATTTTCACAAAAAAATGAATATATTAAATTTAATATACTAAATGAATATAAAAAAGGAGATGTAGATTCTTTTCTCAGTGAACTGTGTCATCGAAAAGCACTAGTCAAATTCTAAGTAATAAACGCACGTTTTCTCTAACTAGACGTTGGCGGAATCAACGATTGTGTCGATGGAGCTATAACAAAAAGATGGAGCTTTAAAAATGAAGAAGAAATTGGGATATAAATTGCAAGGGAATGAACTGGACTGAAAAAAATTAAAATGAAACGGATATCCGGAATTATCCGGTATCCGGCCGGATACCGGATAATTCGCCGGATACTGATACGTAAAATTATACTAGCAAAGTCCATGAATGGCACTTCGTTGATATTGGGTCAGCTTTCGCCATCCTTCTTTCATGGTCTTCTTTTTATTTAAGATGATACATTATTTAAAAGAAAATAATTCTTATGCATAATAAGGCGAACCGTTTTAGTTGAGGCTTTCGATTAGTTTAGTAAAATTATAGGCGCTTGTTTTTTTCACATTCAGCGGGTTCTATACCTGGTTCAGACAGGCGAAAAATCTTTGAATGCAGTTCAAATTGTTTTTAAAATCAAAATGAAGTCTTCTTTTAGTAAAATTCTCTATCTGTGGTATTTAAAATACTTGCCCTACGTGTGGCATAGCTGTGTGAAAATTGAAAAAAACGTCATTTAAGCTTAAACTTATACTTGCATAATTTATTCACAATTGGCATGTAATTAACGAAATAACAACGAGTCCATACATTTTTAGCCTTCATCACCAGCCGTGATTGTGTATTTATGGTATGCTAATGTCCCTTGGATGACCTTTGCTGTGATTATATGATCGGCCTTGCCCAGGCCTTCTGACTTGCCGTAGATGTGGATCCTCTTCAAACCCGGCTCATGTTTAATTTTGCCCCCACCAAGAGACACACAGACCAGTGGTTTCATTTTTGCTTTAAGCTAAAAATGAAAATTTCTGTTATAATACGGTAGCATCAAGTATATAACCCGAAATAGAGACGAAATGTAATTTAATTCGAAACTATTCTGCCAAATCATTACGGTGACAATTGCGCTCAGATTGGCTATCCCGAATTCGAAGTAGACGGGTGTCGTCAATTGTTCCACTTCGAATAAACCAGTTTAATAGCTTTGCTATAATGGACGAAAATTGAAACAATTACATATTTAAAATTTAATTGCCGATAAAATGTGATTCCGTTTGTTTTGTAATTAGATGTTTTGCTGCTTTTCCTACACCACCGAATAGAACAGCCCTCCCATAGATATATTATCTTTATTACAATAAATACAGAATATTCTTGGAATATACGGAGACGTACACACAGGTTAGTTGTTGGCGCTGTATATTTCAGCTTTCTAATTTGTGATTTCAGTGCAAACGAGAGTTGATATTTAAAAGTCATATAAGGTCCATTTGCCTGATGACTTGCCAGGGATGTATGACCCTTATTTCGTCTCTATTTCTGGTTATATACTCGATGTACAGTAGACATGTTACTAATAATGGTAAGCCGCTGCATTGTACTATATACATATAAATTAGAACTACATGCCATATGGTGTATTGAACTGGTGAACAGGAGACGAAACGGGGAGGGGTGTTGCGGTGCGTAAGTAGGCGGTGTTACGTTGTGATGCACCGAGTGCCGGTGCGTTGAAATTGAACGCGTCAACAGCGCCTGTGTGGCATCGCTTTTATTCCATAGTGTTGATCAACACTATGGAATAAATATAACCACTAGTCATTAGGGGGCCCATTTTATTTCGTCACAAACATTCAATAGCTGGAAGTACACCATGCGTTCGTATAATCTATGTAATCATTGATTTTATAACAGGTAAGCTTTTCTAATTAGTACATTTTTGAGCTTTAAACATTTTTTCTGATAAATTTTGTACAATGTTTGGAATTTTGTTATAAAAACGTATACAGTGCCATACAAATGACGCTCTAACTTTATCAAGTCTGAGTATAGAGGTCGCAACTTTTTTTTTGTTTCTAAGATTACGGTTAACCTATAACTGTTTTTCGGAAATAATGCTACTTGCTTACACAATATTTACTCAATTTTGTCTGATTATACGTGTCGATCGACAAAAAATAAATATATCAATCGTCTATTTCTTAGACGTTTACTTGATTTTGTCTAATTACACGCGTTGAACGATATAAAATACGATATCGATCGTCTGTTGCCCACACATTTACTCGTTTTGTTTGATTATACGTGTTGATTGTCAAATATCGAGCAAATCTGTAGTCATCTTTTGACATCGTGACTTCGACTCGCTGTTAAGGGAATATAACTCCACTATTTGTATCTATTTTCCTATCACATTTTTTTATGATAAACGAGTCTTGCGCCTGGTGTTAAGCGACACGCCGGTCCATAGCAGTTGCAGTGTCACTCAGAGCTTTAAATCGCAAAGATATGAGGTACAGTACCACTGCGCCTATTATCCTGAGACATACATAGTTGATTTTTTTTATTTATGGCACAATGTACAGACATCAGATACAGAAAGTGAGGAAAATAAAAACACTTAAAAATTAATACAACAGGCATATCTGTGCCCAATTATTACTGTGCTCAGCATTCATTTTAAAACATTTAGATATACTTAAACAGACACTAAATCAATCATAGAAAAAAAAATCGAGAGAAATAAAAAATAGAGAATGAGAATATGCTATTCACTTTACATTAATGCTAGCAGTGACCTCTTAAATGCTGGGACACTGCAGTTAAAGATATCACAATTAGTACATATTTCATTATAATACCCACACATCCTATATAGAGGATTATTTTGTGATACATTGTTTTTTGAAATGGGTATACTGAATAGTCGTTGATTACTCACAGACCGAGTCGGCATCCTGAACAGTAGCATCCTTAGTAAGCCATCGTCAGAAAAACCATTGGCAATTTTATGCAGTGTGATAAGTCCTTTTAAAACCGGAACGTAGTAATTAATGCTCATATTACTGCTTGGTGACAGACATGGGTAGGTAAAGTGACAGTACTTCCATGGGCGAACTCTTTCTCAAGGAGCTCTACTGCTACTAGATGTAAGTGGTGTTTCACTATGCTAGTTAAATGGATTTATTTCCGCATCTCCACAACTATTTGCGTGATAAGTCAGTTAATGTAATGTTCGTCGTGGACATTTCCTACCTCATTAAAAATTTCCGTGTGGTTGTTGCATCGTTTGTATCCCCTGACAAGCGCGATAGAAGGCATGCAAGCGGGCAATTTTACGCCGTTACGATCCGCATGGACTTTCACGAGGACATACTTGAAGACACCGTCAGAGTCAATGTCTACTCTAGGTATGGATTCCAGTTCGTGACAGGTACATTTTATCGGTTTTGCAGTAGTCTCCATAACAGAGATCTTCACCAAGATTGACACTAAAAAAGACAAAGGAATTCCTAATAAACAACTGTCCGGATTTACATTTGTCTGACGTGGCGTGTCGTGACGCGTCATAACGATATCGGTTTCATACATTGACTTACAATTATAGGGACGTCGGGTCCGCGCTAAAAAGTGTCCGAACTTATAGGGCGTTAAAATCGTATACAGAGCGTCATTCACGCTTTAGTCTTCGTTTGTTCGACTGACAGCAAAGCAAGCAAAATTAGACAGTACTGCGATGACATTACAATTTAAATTCAACGTTTTAGCTTTTTCATATTCCTTTACATGTCACTACGTTTAAATCCTTTAGGACTGTTGGACCCACATAGGTTGACTTGGGACATTTTTTTCGTGGTTTTTGTATTAGACCCGTCGTCCATTTATTTGTAAGTCAATGGTTTCATACATTTAATATGGTTAGGTTTATATTAGCGTGTCGCAATCTGACGTGACGGCTAGTGCTGTATGCATGATATCGATATGTTTAATTTTCAATGGTGGTGACAAATGTAATATAACACATTATACTTTGGAAGTTTAAGTATTCGACTGTATTTTTTTTGTGTACGTTACGTACACGATTACTCGATGATTTTTTTTTCGTTGGATAGGCGGTACCTCAGTAGTGGGTGGCAAATTAGGAGATGAATTCGGTTTATTGAATTTCACACATTTTCCGTTAGCCCATTTCTATAAAACTAGACACGAAAGTGTAATTCCAGTAAAACTAAACGCTATGGTGATAGAGAGTTGATCTGATGAAGGAAACGGCAGACAGATGGGAGGAACTCCTCAACAATGTACAGCAGCTACCTTATGGTTAAACTCATGATTCGTTTCAACGAGGACTTCCATATCGTCGCTTAGCAAACAACACTCAAGTCGACTGAACCATTTTTGTTGCTCTCCTCTGAACCTTCTCCAACATAAGAATGTCTTTTTAAAAATAGGGACACCAAAATTGAAAACCATGTTCCAGCAATGGACGTACATAGGTTTTGTATATTTTTATAAACTAAGTCCTTGGTGATACGTTGAAATGCTTATAAGGTATGTATTATGTACATGTTTATAAGGTTTAAATTAAAATCTTAACACAAACGCGATAGTTAAGTTTACATATTTGAAAACCTGCTCAAGTAGGGACATCGAAAAAGTATCAATACTTTTTGATACCGAGTACTTTTCCTTTTGATACCTATTATTTTGTACTCGATACTTTCATTAGATATTTTTCTGGCATTAGTACTTTTTGACAAGTATCGTACCGTATCCTTTCGGATAATTTCTACTTAGGACACCTCATGTCATAGCGCAAGCCTCCAAGCAACTTTTTCTGTTTAATGGCAAACCTTCTTCACCACAAATGACATGGCTATGTATGTACCTAATTTATGCCACCCTTTGCCTCTATAAGAATGAGAATGAAGAAAAATAATTAGAAACATTTCAATTGAAATTTTCCGTTTTCGTTTCGTAATCGTTTCTCAGTGTCCATCACGCGAAAAAATCTGTAGGACAAAAGTATTGATACGTTGAGAGATCGCTACTTTTGTTTAGATACTTTTATGAGTAGGATACTTTTTATCCGATACTACTCATGAGCCCCAAAGCGCCTATACACAAGAGTCCCAGATCCCTCACAGTTATTTGTAATACGAGAATTCACCTTAACACGTAAATAAATAGGTACCTAGATTTCAAGTCGACCGCAAGAGATAACGTTTTCTTAGACTTTGTTGTCAGTTTGCACGGAATGCATCTAGTCTGTGTAAATACAGAAAAGTATGTTGCTATTGAACCTTTCTATCTTTTCTCCTGTTAGGGTGTAGCAGTTGCAGGTGTGGCAGGAGCTTCAGTTGTGCCAGAAGGCGATGGTGGCGGGCTAACGATGTCCTTTTCGCCAGTTGTAACTGTGAAACCTGGGTATTGTTCTCGGACTAGCTTGGCGATAAACTCACGATCGGGCTTGCCCCTGTCAACGCCTAAAGCGGTGCCGAAGATGTGGATCGTATTGTTGACTGAATTGTGAGTTATGCGTCCTCCCATAAATGGTTCACAGATTAAGGGTTGTAGTACGTCTTGTACCTAAAAAAATGTGTAAAACATGTTCATACAATAATATTTGGCTCCTCTGTCGCTGAATATCATATTCGGTAAATATCATGTTCGGAAAACATGATATGCGCAAGACATCTTGTTCACAAAATATCATATTCGCAAGATACCACATTCTCAAGATATTCATTCATTCATTCAAGAGATACATTTTTAAAACACCATATTCGCTAAACACCACATTCGCAAAACACAACATTCTAAGTACAGGTAATAACAGCAGGTCTTACTAGCGATAGACAGACGGTTAAATTAGGTATTATTAGTCGTCCATTGCACACTTGAGGGACCTGGAGGACGAGGCGGTGGGCTATCGCGAAGTGCTCTTGGCGGTGTCTCTTGATATCGCCAACGCTTTCAACCCACTGCCCTGGACCACCATACTAGAGGCGCTGAAGTTCCATTGCGTGTCCGAGTATTTACGGAAGACGGTAGAGTCCTACCTCTCCGATAGGGCCGTACTATTTCCAAGCCGCGATGGGGTGGGTTGAAGGACCGTCGCACCATAGAGGCGATCCGCCCTGTCCTCGTAGAGTGGGTAAACCGGTCCCACGGGCCACTGTCGTACCACCTTGTGCAGGTGCTGACCGGGCACGGCTGCTTCGGTCACTACCTGCACAAGGTGGCGAGGAGGGAACCGTCCCCGTCGTGCCACGAGTGCGGCGCTGCGGATGACACTGCGCAGCACACCCTAGAGGTGTGTAGCCGGTGGGATGAGCAGCGCCGCACTCTGACGGGGACTGTAGGGCAGGACCTCTCGCTGCCGAGCGTGGTTGCCGCCATGCTCGATAGCGAGGAGTCCTGCGAGGCGGTGGCCTCCTTTTGCGCAGAGGTTATGTCGCAAAAGGAGGCCGCGGAGCGGGTGCGCGAGGACGCGGCGGACGCGCACCCGCTCCGGCGCAGATCTACGGGGAGAAGGCGAACGCAGTTCGCTGCTCGCCTGATCCCCTAGTGAGACCAGCGGGCTCTGGACAGGGACTCCGGAGCCTGCATTGCATTGCACGGCCTCACTCGTCTGGGGGGCGGGTCGGAGGACAACCAACTCGCCCCTCCATTGGCGCGGGAGCCCTGGCGTAAGCTAGGGCGGCCGGGCGGCGTCGTGGTGAATGTTCACTGATCCCACGGCGCCGACTCAACCGGCGAGAGGGAAACCCGGGGGGTTTTAGTGGGGTAGGCCCTCCAGCCTGGAGGGAGAGTCCCCACATAACCTCTGAGTCTCCCTGGGCTCAGGGGTATCCATAAAGATTTCCCCCCGTCAAAAAAAAAAAAGGGTTGAAGGAGCGTGTCGTGCGGTGTGCCACAGGGGTCAGTCCTTGGACCGCTCCTGTGGAACATCGGGTACGACTGGACCGAGCTGTGTTACGCGAGTGTACTGCGAAATTAAACGAATGTCCGTAAACGGCGCGCGGTGGGTGTTACAAATACATGTCGCGCTGCTACGTTCGTGAGTGATATGTTCCACAAATCCCCATACAAAAATTCCCCACTAGGGGATCCTAAAATTTTCTTCGACAAATCTCCACTAATATAGTATTTGCTACGCAGTTGGGATTTATGGAAAAAATACCCACCAAGATATTATATTTATATTAGGTGTTTATTTTATTTTTATTATATTTATTCGTTTTCAGCGCCAATGTCATTGACACATTACTAAACAGATTAAAAGTTCTTTAAATTGAAAATGGACTTTTGAACTTCTTTAAAATATTGAAAAGATTTTTAAATTAGTACTCAAACAATTTACTTATCATCGCCCTTGAACGCTCAAGCAAAGTCAACTTGGTTCTACTGCAAGGGTGTTCAAAATGTCTGGTAGTCTTTGTCATTTTATCATTGGATTTGTGGAACATACCTTGTGAGGAGTGACAGTATTTACTACACTGTTATTACATGTTATTATGGTGTAGGCGTGAAGTACTTCGTTTGTACTAAGTACAGTCTCTAAAAACAAGTTACATTGAAAATGTTAAATTACAATAACAATAAAATCCATTTTTCGGAGAACATATACCCATATCGTCGTCTTAGAGTGAATACCACGTGTGTGATTTCTATGTAAATTTTTCAGGACGAAGATAAAAATGTGATGTAAAATGTAATAAACGCAATAATGTCTGTAGTTAGCATTTCAATTAATTATATTATACCTTTCACATACTACATTACTTTAATAATATATTTGAGCAAGAAGTTTATAAATAAGTTATTTTTCAACAAAAATCAGAAAAACTCCTGAAGGAGAATGACCCGCACGACGTGCCCACATTCGTGGCGAAGGAGTTGCACAAGCTGCCCCCAGTCAATTTCGACCATGTTGATGTCACTAGGCTGCTGAAGGACATTACGTCTCTGAAGTCGAGCTTAGCCGAGTTACAATGTAAATTAGATGCTTCGGATAACACCGTAAGTGAGCTGCGTGCCCAAGTTGCGTTTTTAAGCAACGCTGCTTCGGTATGTAGGTCACCAGAAGCCTCTAATGTAAATATGCGTCGTGGGGCGCAAAATGCATCCATTTGCAGTGTCGAGTCGTCACATTCGAATGCACCGATCGCTGTTGCCACCGTGCGTGATGCTCCGCGCTGCTCGTTCCTCCGCCTCGGCGGAAACGTCATGCGATACACATCAATCCCTACACGTGCACACGCCGCTGTAGCCGCTTCTAGTAACCGACCCGTCACTTTGAAACACGAGCGGCGGCAATCTGCTAAGAGACGAAGTAATCTTCTTGTGCCTGTCTCTGAACCACAGAGGCAGATGGACGGGTGCGACGAGGAAAGCTTCACAAAAGTGAAGAAGAAGAAGAGGAAGCCCACCAGCCTTAATCGAGGTTTAACCCACAACCCATAACACCATGACACCCATGACACAAAGCCGAATACACCCTGAGGGTCGAGCGGTTGGAGTCCCGCCACAATGTACATTTCAATTTGTTTGTGGTGAGAGTACCGACCGAACATCTGTCGACCTTCATGAAGGAAGAATTTTGGTCGAAGGGTGTCATATTATATCGGCGATTCCGCGGCCGGTTACCTGACACCAGATTGCGGCACACGTCTCCGACAAGTGCCATTCGTGCAGATTAGTTACAAATCGACTCATCCGAAGAACAAAGTGCGATGTGATTATACGGCGAAAAGAGGTTAAAACATAATCTCGTTGTTCACAAGGCCTATATAAAAGTGATTTCAGATTTTTTATGTATTTATTATTTCGTTTCAGAAGTACAAAATCGAACAACAGCCGATCTTGACTATGGTTATCCGCAGTCAAGAACAACAAACGAAATGTACAATGTCCCGAGAATAAGCAGCATCTTGCACATAGGTCTTTGTTCTACGGATGAGTCGAAATAGTGTTTTATTATATTGTATGTTAGGCCTTAAGGTAAATATATGGGTCATGTGGCCTGAAAAAAAAAAACTATGTCAAAATGCGTATATGCGAGGTTTTCACTCTAAGGTGACGATATCTAATTACTAACCGACTTATAAACCATGTACGTACATTGTTTTAAACTTAGATCTAGTAAAATCCATGAGATGCCTTATTACCAGCGTGGTATAGATAGACTATATTTATAGTCTAACTGCAACATGTGGTGCGTATTGCTTGGTTAGCAGTTAAGTTTGTTTTATTTTATATTGTATTATTCACTTACTCATAATCTGGAGACCGAACAATAAACATGTCTCTTTAAATCAACGTATTTCACTCTACCATCTACGTCCATCCTTTTTAATAATATGAGACCAGTGATCGGAGTTAAGGGACTTAATTTAGCTGAACTAAAGAATAAAGTGTACATTGTGTTAATTATTATATTTATTAATGAATTTGCCATTCACCGTATTATTATACTGTAATATACATTTATTAGTTACTTATTAATAATCCTTGAATACACTTGACATTGTTAATTTAATTCAATTATTTATTAGCGTAATTAATTATGTTAATTTTGTATATGGATACTATTGTGTACTTATGATTTACTATTATATAATTATTTCTTAATTATTTTGTAAACTGACTTTTCGAAGAGTAGTACAAAATGACATGTAATTGTATTCGTATGAAATTTGTAATGTTGGGAGAAATAAACTAAATTGAACTAAACATTCCCTTCTTCGAAATCCGGGATTTCTCGGAACTGATTATATTCGAATTTGCGAATCATTTATAGAAATTTGAGTACAATGCCGACAAACTGCTATTTCCTATAAAGTAGTTTGCTACAAATTATTGTGTCAAAAAATAATATTGTGATTGTGTTTCTATGGGTACTCACGAATTTAAATACATTAGTCATTTAAAAAATAAACATGAGACAACCTATACAATGTGTTGATATTTCTACCGCCAAGTAATAATGGTCGCATTACTGTGTTCCGGTTGTGAAGGGTAAGGGTGCTAGCGAAATTACAGGCACATGGGACTTGTCTACTTATGTCTCAGGGTGAAGGGCGCAGTGGCAGCACCACCCACTAAGATCTTTGCCATTTAAAGCTCTGAGTAACATTGCAGCAGTTATGGGCAGGCGTGTGGCTTACTACCAGGCGCACGACTTGTTCGTCCTATCACTTGGTATTATAAAAAAAAATACGTATCCGAAATGCCGAGTGGCCGAGCGCTCGCTCGGGCTTGCTCGGGCCCCGTTGGGGTCACTGCCCGGACGCGGTGCATTCGATTTTTGCAAAACTTTACTAGATACAATTAGTCATAATATTTAACACAACATATTTTTTAATATTTTTAGATGATTTAGTATTATTTATATTATAATTTCTTAACTATAGCGAGAATGCAAATCAACACACTATATTTGGGAATGTCTACAAAATAAACAGTAAAGAAATAAATTTTCTTAGCAGTGATGACGAATTGGGTACGTCCACAACACTAAGAAAACGTTCATACTTAACTCCCTCAATTCCGATCATTGCTTATTACAGACCACTCCATTTTCTTTTCTCATTTTCAATACGCTGTTGTTTTTGTTAGATACGTACAGTACCTACTGCAGAAAATTATTATTTTATATTTAATATTGAAAATTATAATTACACATGTTACCTCTTCTATAATCTCCTCAAAGTCTATGAACCTTTTATATCCTCTGACGATGACAACAGGAATTGCTCCTGTTCGAACCTTGGGGTCGCAGACTGTGAAGGCGACGTATTTGTAGGTACCGTCTTTATCGATGTCTACTTTTTGTATGGTAGATAAATCTGGGCAATTACAGCTCGGCTTTTGCTCAGTGACAGGAGAAGGGTCAGCTGGGGGGGCGGTGGCCATTACATGAACATCCTGTCACCAATACTGTTGCTGTAGAAAGCGCATTCATAAAAAGATTTTTAATCAGTATTCCGTATACGCTGATACATGCGTGCAGAATCTTAGCATAAAAACTGTTATTAGATTTGTAGCTCTGACGAGTAGGTTTATAAAATGAACAGCCAAAACCTATTATAAACCGCTTTCACAATTTACCATTGAACCTAACGCATGAATTAATCTGGAATCTCCATAAATAAATCTAGACGAAGACAAAATATACACAGAAGTTAATTAATTGTACTGAACAAAAACATATAGATTAAAATTTGTAATAAGTTTTATAAATTCACAATTTTTTAATTTTATGTAATATTGATAAAGATTTTTTGAAAGAAGAATGACAATTTATTTACGTTTGTTATGACAACATTTAACGTAGTGTTTTTATACTTTTTTAAATTGATGACAATCTTCACCTGAGAACTATGGAAACACTTGAGAACCGTGAAATAGAAAGCGAGGTGAATAACCGCGAAGAACCTTCAGAACAAATTAATGAGAATGTTGAAAACCTCATCAATACAGTTTGATAAAAAGTCGGAAATTATCACTTTATAAGTTATTTAAATGTATATAGAATAGGATTATGAATATTACAGAGTTTTAACCTAGGTTAAAGTTCTGAAAACGGATTTATTTATCGTTTAAGTACTGCTCGATACGGCACGTATTGATGAACCGGAGTTTTTGACATCTGCCGTTGTCTGTCTCATTTAAAATTCAAAATTTATTTTATAGGCCATAGTAGAGGCGAGAATTTAATATAAATATTCAAGTTTAATAATAAAAGGCGAAATAATAAGGACGATAAGAATATTCTTTGGTTAACTTAATTCTGTCTTAGTTACCTATATAATTCTTTATTTTGGACAACGGTACAGATCCACCAAAATATTATAGTTAAAACTTTACATTCTACAGATCAGAGACCTATTACACCCTTTTTTAGGTTAGGTACCTTTTTTAGGTATACAAAATCATAGCTATACATCTATTTATATCTATGTCGAGAAGTTAATAACATATTGGCTTATGCAATGAATATTCGTTTTGAACATATTGGGTATTTGAGACTGAGTAACACGGTTGATACAATTTAGTACTTCTGTTCAACGATGGGGCCTGGCTCTTACAGCATACAACCAAGTCCAGCCTCTATGAAAAGCTCAATGCGAAACGTACAATGGCCTTTAATCACAGAACACTATACTCACAACCTTTAATGCTCTGGCCATACTGAGGCGGACGCGGAAGCGATCCGGGCGCGGGAATTTTTGTAATGTACGAGTTTATATGAACTCTGCCACATTCAAACGCGCGTCTGCTCGTATAAAAATTCCTGCGCCCAGAACGATTCCGCGGCCGTCTCTGTGTGGCCTGAACATAAATGTAGTTCACTAAGTAGTCTTTGCTTTGAATGCAAAGGATCTAAAACGGCCAATATGATCAATCAACACTGACATTGAACTCTGACTTTTAAGGAAAAAAATTTTATCATTGGTCCCCCAATTGCCACCCGGGAAGTGCATAAAATTTAAGAAAATAATTGTGAAATGAAAAAAAAAAAGAAGAGACAACATATTTATTTAATCTATGGTTCAAATTATTTCTGGGATGGCGGATTCCGGTATTTTAATTTAATGAATGAAAATAAAGAAATCAAGTGAAATTTTGTTATTTAAGTGGAAAAAATGAGTTCCTCTACTAGTAAAATAGATTCGAGCCTTACCAGTGAGTATTGTTTACGGATATTGTCCCTCATTTTTATGTATTTATAATTAGAACAACGTACTTTTTTTATGTCGTGAGGTGAGATCATATTTTGCGTGGTATTTCTTTTGTTTTTTTGCTTTAAATGCAGAAGTAAACATTTATGTCCAAGCATTGAACGAATAAAGCAATTAAAATATGTAATAATAAGCAACAGATGCTCTAAAGTTCGCAGAATGCTTTTTAATATTTCGCAATTCAAAATTGAAATGTATCCTTGAAACCTACGCTCACTTGTATAAATAAAGCTTTGGATGTGGATTAAGAATACAGTATACAATATAAAAATGCATAATAAAATATGGTTATATACAGGGTGCAAAAGACTGTTTATTACTAATGTAGTAGTAAGAAATCTGTGTGATACAGTTAAATGAAATATTGTGGTGCTACTGTGTCTACAGGTTACTACAGCACCATGTATTGTCAGAAAGTGTAGAATATATTTTAAATTGCAATAAATTTTTATTCTATTCTAAAATAGCCCACATTTTGAGAAACAAACGAATATCTAGATTTGATTACCATGTTGATATTTAAGCTTGATTCACAGTTATTTGTAAAATAGTAACTCTCGCGTACTTGATAGAGCTCCTCTGGCTCTATCAATAAATGAGAAAACTGATTTTAATATTTTAATAAAGATCCTTATTAAAACATATCCAAAACAAATAACATGAATAAAACGCAACTTGACATGAAGAGAGCTCTATGAGGTAATAAAAGTAAATTTAAATTTGAAAAAGAATAACTCTCAATGTCACACCGGCCAGTATGTAAAAGATTGCACATCCATGCTCTGACAGTACTGACTATATTTCTAACCATTGACTTACAATTATATGGACGTCGGGTCCGCACTAAAAAGTGTCCGCACTTGTAAGGCGCTAAAATCATATACAGAGCGTCAAACTCCGCTTTAGTCTTCATTTGTTCGACTGACAGCGCGATACTGCGATGACATTACAATTTAAATTTCGAATAGGTTGACTTGGGACATTTTTTCGTGGTTTTTGTATTAGACCCGTCATCCATTTATTTGTAAGTCAATGTTTCTAACATAATTTTTTATTTCATGACTTTAAAAATCCTAATAAATTTACCAAAATTAAACTTTTCTGTTTTTGTTGTACTATCTGACACGTTTTAGATCTGTATTTGGTAGTAAAAAGGTAGTGTAGTAAGTGCAAACGTGCAAGTGTCGTCCTTTAGTCCTTTACGACCCTCACCCCATACACAATCGCATGTGTGTTCTTTTGTCACCATACAGAGTTATCACCATGTAGAGTGATCTGTGTAAATACTTTGATATGAAAGTAAAGTCTGAACTATTACTAAAAGTCATGGAACAAAGGTTGCAATTCATGATTAGTAATAAATATACTTCTGTGAGGATGTTGGATGGTTTACAAAATTAAATGACCTTATATAAAAGCTGTGTTTTGTAAGGGATTTGTTTTGTGCAGCACCATTTCCACCACATATGTTATTTAGTATATGCATGCAAATGTTTTTGTAAGAATTTGAATAATGTCTAAATGATTATTTCTGATTTTTACTCTTTATACATAGAAATAGATCGAAAACTATGGTATATAAAATAAAATCAATAACTTTATGGAATATGTGAAATTAATTCTTTCATATGATATCAGATCTATTAGTTTCACTTTTAAAATTTGTTAAGCATATACAATCAATGAAAAAATATTTAAAAAACAAATAATAAACGATAAGACTATTCTTCAACATACATGAAGCACGACAATGATTTTACTTAAAATAAAACAGTATTGAAGGCTTCACCTAGTATTTATTTACCGCTGGAGACTCACTATTATGTAGATATTTTAAAAATTAAATATTATTACAAAACTTGCACAATGATATCAAAAACCAGGTTTTTTTGCAAATGAAATAATAAATAAAGTTATAACTTTTTTATTTTTGCATGATATATTTTATATATTCAGATTTTTGCGATTTAAAGCTCTGAGTGGCACTGCAACCGTTATGGACAGGCGTGTAGCTTAAGCATCAGGCGCACAACTTATTTGTCCCACCACGTGGTATTATAAAAAAAAAATATTCCCTGGTCCTCAAATAATTTCTAACGGGATTCCTCTCTATTTTTTTTAAATACCATACACTTACTTATTCTACTTAGAATAGTTGTCATTTCTTTTAATTTACAAGATATTAATTTCCAGGTATGTGGGTGAACTTCTTCACAGCAGCGGGCATCCCGTCTGATGTGTCAGCTACATATGCCCTGACGTTCACGGAGAATCGCATACAAAACGACATGTTGCTGGACTTAAATAAGGAGTATTTGAGAGATATGGGAATTAGTAGAATGGGAGATGTCATTGCTATACTACGGTGAGTTTTTAAAATAATATACCTATAGGAAATGAAACTATTTTTCCGGATTTAAATCGCGTATATTTGTTTTTTCAAACAAACCGACGTTTCAGGGCCCTTTACAGGTCCCATGGTCACGGTTGATAGTCAACCGTGACCATGGGACAACAAATATACGCGATATAAATCCGGAAAAATTGTTTCATTTCCTATGTGTAACAATCGCGAAAACCTAAGAACTAGATAATATACCTATCTCATGTGAGTTTCAGCCTTACTTAAAGTAGTTTAGTTACATTTTTATATGCACGAGTTTGTGAAGAGAGGAAAAAATTTACTCGAGATGGGTCTTCCTTATTTCTAAATGCTCAATGTTGCTAATTCCAAGCTGTACAATGCTTCGGCGTGGCCGACTACGCGGCGAAGTACCGTGGAGTGCCGAGGTCGTTCTTCGAAGTCTTCAGCAAACCTAATAGGATGCTGGGATTTCTGGAGGAGCTTGAATGGGACCCTGCACCCATCATACGCAAAAATTAGGCGCCTTGACGTCGAGTTGGGGACACCAACCCGTCAGATCATATAAACTAAACTGCTGATCAACCGCGATTGTCAAAGGTTGTTTGTATAAACAAACAAGTCATTTGTTAATAACTTTAACAATGTTTTTGATAATTTTACAGACATGCTAAGCAAGTTCATGAGATAACTGCGCGCGACCGCGTGCTTAGCACCACGACCACAGCTACCCTCACTGCTAGCGCGGTCGCAAAAGTGCCTGTCGCGGCAGTCACCGGCCGCACCACTGTTGCGCAACCCTCTTCCCGTAAGTACTTGAATTAGGAAAAATGTCATTGTATATGGGCAGTGGGTTAAAACCGAATCAACCCGGCAGTTTTTTACCCAAAGTTTTAACCCATTTCTGCCCAAAATCGTGGTTGGTAACGCCGAATATGGAATTTGGTATAATTCCATACGTATTACAAATTTCGATGGAAAGAAATCTTTTTTAGACAAAAAAGAGTCGCCTTCACATTATATACTTACCTTGCAATCCTGTGGATTCTGACTACCAAGGATGCACAATACAATTCGATTTCTATAAAAATCGATTCAATTGCATACAATCTAAAAATTTTTTGTATTAAATCGAATTGTCTAGATCAGAAAGTAATAAAAATTTTGTAATAATATTGTTGAATTTGAACAAAACTCGATTTACAACAAGTAATTAGCTGTACATTGTTTTAGCTCTCGATTTCTGGCATTAATGGGTTTTAACCCGATTTAAACCCAAGTTAATAAAGCGCCGGGTTAAAACGTGTTGTATGTTATTGTATTATACGTAATAGAATAGTAAAGTATCTCAATCATTACTGAATGGCTTTGTAGGCGTTATATTGACATTATAAGACGTGGTTTTGTTTTTGATTGTTTGGAACCAAAGGGAAATGGAAAAAGAAGGTTCTTAATCAACCTTTACTGTTGCTGACAGCGGCGAGCCGTATTTTGGAGCACTACACGCGTAATCCAGCGAAGGAGCCGTCGCCAGTCGCCCAACCACAACTCAAGAGGAGGTCCAACGAGTCTCAAGAAGATTTGAATATCAAAAAATCACGACTCATTCGCTTTGGAACTCCCCCGCCGACCGCGAAAGAAGGTATTGCACTTGTTTAATCTATTTCTCATATCACACTGTTAATACAATAGTGCATTAACTCAAAAAGTGCATTTTTTGAGAATCGATGAAAAACGAATTAATCACTTTCCGTGAAAGATTATTAAAATTTACGTGTAGCTTAAAGTATCTATAGATATTTAAACAATTTTCTATTTGCCAAATATATCTAAAAATAAAAGGGAAAATATTATTTGTCATTTTTGAGTAACAACGGTTTTGTCCAGAATTAGATCACAAAAAGTTTGCCTTATTTTGAGTCGAAGTAGATATCATTTCATTGGTTCTTACAATATTCTAACGATGGTATTGCTCACATGTAGAGAGTAAAATTTTAGTCTTGAATTTAACATATTTTGAGTTACTATAGTATTGTAATAGCAGTGCGATATTTGCATTGTAATAGCTTTGCGTCCTTCCAAAATGGCTTCTGCTGTGTGCCCGACGTCCAACTCCCGAAGAAAACTTAATTTACCCTTAAATTTATGATTTTATTTTTCCATACCCTTGAGCCACAGTCCGTCCTATTTATTTATATCTAGGCCCGGTGTATAAATAGGACGGACTGTATATACAGGGTTACAGGAAAAGTCGTGCTAGATCCGTTAAGGGCGT